GATCCCCCACGGAGCTCCAGCTGGGGCCACAGAGCGAGACTCCTCTCAAAAAAAAACAAAAAAAAAAAAAAAGAATCCTGGGAGCTCAGAGGCCGGGGTGGGCTGGAGATGCGAGGGGCGTCCACTCTCTCTCCTGACTTCCCGGACTCTGAAGCCCACCCAGGGCTGGCCCGGGGCCCGAGTGTCTGGGGCTGCAGGAGAGGCCGCTGTCCGGGCGCAGGACTTCGCACGGCTCTGCCCCGCCCCTATCTCCCCCGCGGGCCACGGGAAGCGGGACCTGGGCGCGCTGCGGGGAAGGTGGGGGGAGCTGGGAGGCCTGAGCCTGGGCCCTGGGCGCCTCCCCCACACGGGGTTTTCCGTCGTGCTTCTCGGGGCTTCCCAGCGGCCGGCGTTGGGGGCGGTCTGTAGGGAACCCCCGGGTCAGCTGCTCGCGGCCCCAACCGGCTCAAACTCCCCTGCATCGGGCCCAGCTTCCCGCCGTCACCCGCCCGGGTTCCCCCCGGGGCGCGGCTGTAGCCCCGGCCTCCCCTACCTGGCTTCCCGCGCCCCCTCGCATCCACCTCCCTGTCCAAGGCTGCCCAGGCAGCGCCCCTACACCCACCTCCAGCTTCCCGCTCCTCCTCTCACCCCTAGACCCCTCCTGCTCCTGCTCGGCCCTCCCCACCCCATCTTCCATGAGACCCTCCCTCAGCCCCGCCAAACCCCTGCTCTCCCCTCCCCTCCAGCACTTCCCCTCCTTCCTCGCCTCTTCCACCCGCCTCAGCCCCTGCCCTTGCCCCTGCCCCTTTCCTTGGAGTACCAAGGGCTCAGTCTTGGTCCCCACACATTCCCCAGGATCACCTGCCCGTCCCAGCGGAGACAGCGCCATCACCCCTCGCACCGGGAGGCTGCCTGCACACCCCGAAGCCGCCTCAGCAAAGCTTTCCAGCTTGCATTTCAAGGCTGCCTTCCCCCAGGTCTCCCAACTCAGGGACCATTTCCTCCCAGGCAAAAGTTGACTCTGAGGTCTCATCTCTCACTTCTCCTTCCCCCTCCCAGCCAGAATCCCCAGGCCTGCCCCTCCCTGTTTTGCATCTTCACTGCAGGGTGGGATCCGGTGGACTCCCCTCCCACCTGAACCCCTCCATCTCCCCTGCTCCCACCGGTTCCCACACATCCCAGCCTGCTTTCTTCCTTGTTCCACGAATGCCCCGCGGATCTGAGCCTGCCCAGGGCACCCAGCACTCCAGCCCCCATACCCACGGCTCCCCTCCCTGAGCTGAGCCCTCTGCTGGACCCATCTCAGGCCTGCGGAGCTGCTGGGTGTCCCACAAGTGTCCCCTGAGGTGACCAGGGCACCACCCTAAAGATACATCTTGCTCTCTGCTGTCCCCATGCCAGGAACGGTGCAACCAGCAGGTCCTCAGCGAGTCCTCCCTTTCTGGGACACCTTCCGTGCTCTTTCCATGCCTGGGTCCCCACTGTGCCTCGGCCAGCCTTGGGCACCGGCGCCCCTTCCTGGGACGCGGGGTACACTTCTTGCTGCAGGTGCTGATGAGGCGCCCTCTCCTGTAAGGCTGGGTCAGCGAGCCCTGCGGCAAGACCAGCCCCCCACCCCCACCCCCGGCCCCCGGCTCCCAACCCAGGCACCTCCACTGCCAACACCTCACTCTCAGCACATTTCCCGAGTGTTTCCTTGGCAGGTGTCTACACAAGCCCAGGTGCTGCGGTTCCCATGGCTCAGAGCAGCCGCAGGGGGTGGGGTGGGAGCCCCGGTGGTTGGGGTGGGAGCCCCGGTGGTTGGGGTGGGAGCCCTGGATGGGCTTGCGGGCTGCCCTAGATTCTAACACAGCCTCCTTGGAGGTCACAGGTGGGTCCGAGGTGGGCTCACCCTGCCTTGAGCTTCCAGCAAACACTTCCCGAAGCAACTCTGAAGGGTCAGGCCAGGTCTCCCAGCCTCCTTTCACCAGCGCTGCCTTCGGGGCCCCCCGGCCCCCCCGGCCCTTGCAACCCCTTCCCGTTGATGTGCTGAGAGCATCAGGCCAGACCCACCTGAGGAGAAACCAGGGCCTTATCTGCCACAGTGTAGGGGCCTAGGAGGAGGCAGGAGCTTACCTGAGAACAGGAGAGGCCACATTCTGTAATCCGGGGAATGGCCAGGCTCTGGAAAGTGCCCCAGGTCAGGCCCAGGAACGCGAGTGCTTGCCCAGCCAGCATCTGGCTGTGCAGTGACAGCTCCCACTGGTGAGCGTGGATGTGAGTGGGGCAGGTTTTCAGGGTGTCCTGTGGCAGCGGCTCCAGGCTGACCCTGCAGCTCCAGCCCCAAAGACAAACAGAGGAGTGGAGTCTGCTCCTCACAGCAGAGCCAGCGGGACACTCCCCCTCCCGGCAAAACAAGGCTCGCTTCACAGACAGCAGCCCAGAGACTTTCCACCGTCTGGGGCCGAGAGACTGTGGCCAGACACTTGTGGAGTTTCTAGGTTTCCAAAGGAAGCATCCAGAAACCTTGGGGCCTTTGGGGTCCGAGGACGCCCTAATGGGGTTCCCCACAGGGCGGCCACTGGAGCAGAGATGGCTCCAGGCCAGTGGGATAGGCTGCCACCTGTGTGCACTCCCCTCAGGCGTGCGTGAGGCCAGGATGGTAGACAAGGGCCCTGGAAAGCTGGCTGGGCTGGCAGAGGGGCAGAATCTGTCTTGGGCACTCACCCCAGAGCCCCTGGCTTCAGCTCCAGCCCCTAAGGGAGAGCCCTCTCCTGGGACCTGAGACTCCACCCAAGTCCCTGGCCTCCACCTCCCCTCAAGATACAAAAGGCCACCTCCCCTGTGCGGTCCTCACTGTGAGGTCCCCCGTTCCAGAGAGCAGCCCCTGAGGCCCTCACTGTGAGGTCCCCCGTGCCGGAGAGCAGCCCCTGAGGCTGGGAAGTCTGGGGCCCGGCCTCTGCTTGGGGAGCTGTTCCGTGTCCTCTTCTTATTTGGAGCATCAAATGCATAGGAAAGTTTCTGGGCAGAAGCTTCTGCTTCCCATTTGCCTCCAGTCAGGGCAGGGGGTTGGAGAGAACCAGGGTGTCGTTCTGGGCTCCTCCTGGCTCCTCCCTTCCTGGACAGGCCCAGAGTCCCTGTGTCCAGCCCAATCTCTATGCTGTGGCCAGGCAGCACTGAGGTTTCTGCACCTGCCTCTGGTTCTGGGAGGGCACTGCCCCACGTGTGTGCGTGTGTGCGTGTGTGCGTGTGTGTGCGTGCGCGCGTGTGTGCATGTGTGCGTGCGTGTGTGCGTGCGCGCGCGCGTGTGTGCGTGTGCGTGTGTGCGCGCGTGTGTGCGTGTGCGTGTGTGCGCGCGTGTGTGCCTGTGTGCGTGCGTGTGCGTGTGTGTGCATGTGTGCGTGTGTGTGCGTGCGCGCGTGTGCGCATGTGTGCGTGCGTGTGTGCGCGCGTGTGTGCGTGTGTGCGTGCGCGCGTGTGTGCGCTCGCGCGCGTGTGTGTGTGCGTGTGTGTGTGTGTGTGTGTGGTTGGGGGATGCAGGGAGTCAATAGCTGGGGAGCCTGGGAGTGTCTAGCCGTGGTGCTCTGCCTGGAATACCCACAGGACTCCCCAGGTGTGGAGGGCGGCACCACCCGCAGGCTGGGAGAGGCCGTGAGCCTCACACTGTGGGCTCCGGTAGTCAGGAGGGAGCTTGGGAAGCAAGCTCTGGGGCTTGGTCCCAGGGAGGGAAGGTGGCCGGGACCTGCTGTGACCGTGAAGTCCTCCCTCCCTCCCACCAACCCCACTGCCCACCTCCCTGCATCCTGGACCAGCACCTCGACCCTGCCCCCACCTGGCCTAGAGCCCTCCATGGGCTGGAACTTATGCGGTCACTGCTGGGCAGAGTAAATGGGGCTGAGCCCGCCCCCTGCAGCAGCGTGCCTGTGGCCACGGCGCCCCGGAGAGAGTGGCCAGTGCCAGCCTCCATGCCACAGCGTGGGCAGCAGCAGGCAGTCAGGTTTGGGGGTAGCCCAGGACGGGCCACTGTTATCCCCCATCCCAGGCCGGCTGGGGTGTAAGAGGGATACTCCAGCTGGGCCTTGCCCCTCAGCCTGGCCTCCAGCCCTCCTTATACCAGGGGACAATGGGGGCTGCTGTACTGTGGCAGGGGTGTCCCAGACGATGTCCATGGATGGCCACGACCAGCAGGATCGTTGAGAAAGGACAAATGTCCCTTCCCCGTGGGCCCACTCACACCCAAATCTCTCTCCAGGTCTCTCTGGGACAGGCCCCCACCATGACACACCCATCATCTGAAGGCACCATCCCAGCGTGCCATGACGCAGGCAGGGGCTGCAGGTGGCCAGTAGTCGGTGACCTCCTGTGGGGACGGCCCACGGGATGTGGCTGGCGCTGGTCCCAAGGCCCAGGGAAGGACAGTGGGGCCAGTCTCTGTCCTCTGCCCCAGGCCCACGGCCACCCTCTCCAGTCTGAGGTCAGGGGGCTCCCCGCCCTGTCTCTGAGGGCTGGGGGATTGGCCCTGCTCAGTATCCATGAAGAGCCAGGCCACCGACTCCTGGGCAGGCCCCAGCCACCGAGATCACCCACCGCAGCTGGACGAGGCCTGGGGTGGGGATGGGGTCCTTGCAAGTCTAGGTCCCCAGGGCAGCACGGCCACATGGCCCACTGACCATCCGTGCGCCCGGAAGCCCAGCGGCGAAGGGCTCTGAGGGTCCAACCCCGAGGGCTCCCTCCGCGCCCGCGCTGGGCACCAGGTGGGAGGAAACGGGGTGCGGAGACCCTGGGCGGCGCCGAGACTCGTCGGACGAACGCGGGAAGGAACGAACCAGCGTCTGCCTGGGATCCGGGCTGGAGCTTTCCCCAGAGGGCTCCGAGGGGCCGGAGGGGCGCGGGGGTGCTGGGCGCGGGGCTCCCAAGAAAAACACGGCGAGGACGCGGGTTCTCCACAACAGCGCTGTGTTCTCGGCCTCAGCTCCGCGCAGGTTTCCTCAAAGACGCGCGTGGCTCCGGGTCGTTGTCCTGGTCCCCGCGCCGGTCCCGACTCACGGGGTCCGCGGGCTGCAGCTCCACCCGCCGAGCGGCACGAAGGATGCGCCCTGCAGGACCGCGGCGCGGAACGAGCGGCAGCGCTTGCAGGGCCAGGCGGGCGGCAGCAGCCCGCGGCACACCAGGCAGGGCAGCCCTCGGGGGTCCCTCGGCAGCCCTGGGGAGGGAGGGGCGCTGAGACCGCGTGCGCCGGCCCCACATCCCCCCGGCCGCGCCTCCCTCCACCCCGACAGCACCCGCCCGCCCGGCGCGCGCCGGGACCCCCTACCCGCAACAGCGCCTTCCTCCACCAGCGTCCCCAGGCCCCGCACCCCCACCACCGCTCCTCCAGTCCCCTGACCGTCCCACACGCCCCGGGAACCCTGGACTGCGTCCACAGACCCTGAGCCCACAGACCCCTCAAATCTCGCCCCTGTGCTCTCTTACCCCAGCCCATCTTCGACTGCGCCCCAGGCCCCCTGATTGCGCCTAGCGCCCCTTGACCTCCTCCCCAGGCCCCCAGACCGCGCCCACCCTTCCCTCAATCCACACCCACCAACAGGCGACACCCACGCCCCTCAAGGCCACGCCCCCCCGCAGGCCCCCCCAGGGCCACCCTCGTCACCTGCAAGACCAGCCCAGGCGGAGAGTCCAGCCCCAGATGGCTCCCAACTCGCTCCTACATGGAGCCCACATGCTTCCCCCAGCTTTCGGATAACCAAGACCTCCACTTAAACGCGGGCCGGGGGGTGGGAGCGGGGCGTCATGCCTCTGGGATGAAGGCTCTGCGGATGAATGGTACCCTTCTCCACCCCCCTCACCGTCTGTAACACTCCTCTACCCGGGCCCCCACCCCAGAGGGGCAGTCCAGCTCTGCCTCTTGCTCATCAGCCTCTTCCAGGCAAGTCCTGCCTAGAAGGACCCAACCCACCAGGGCATTTGGAGAAGATCAGCTCCCACCCCAACTCCTCCTGCTCTGCTGTGCCTGGGCTCAGGCTCAGACGCCTGGTGCTGAGGACCTGTCCCCACTGGGCCGGGACCAAGTGGGTGGTGGGCACAGGGCGATGCCTGCAGACAAGGGCCAGCAGCGTGCTGGGCCAGCCCCAGAGTCCCAGGATGGGTCAGCGGCTGGAGGGCTCAGGAGGGAGGTGGGAGTGTTAAGACTAGGGGTGCTCCAGGAGCCACCGAGCCCTGTCCCCACGAGAGGCTGCACCGGGTGTAGGCCATCTGGTCACGCTGGCACCTTCGAAGTGGACCTGGGCTGGGGCTCCCAGTGGAGCTAGAAGACCTGCTGCCCACAACCTGTGGTCAGACCTCACCAGGGCCCATGGGCTGTTCTGATGCCAGGAGCTGCTGGAGGGAGCACGCCCCAGGCCAGCCATCCCATGCGGTGCCCGTGGTCTGGCAGGTGGCTGCAGTCCGTGCCCCCTCCTGCATGGACTCAGAGGTGGCAGCCATGATGGGCGAGAGCAGGTAGGTGCCGTCCACTGCGGGGCTGGCCACTCAGCGACGCCACCCCCTGCATGGGAGCTGCTGCTTTTCAAGGACTTTCACACAGTTCCTTGGAGCGTCACAGGACAGGCAAGGCTGGCAGGTGTGACCACCATGCGTCCCTTTCACCCGAGAGGCTGGGGCCTTGGCCTGGCTCTCACTCGCCTCCAGCCGCTGCCCTTGCCCTGGGGCTGTCCCATGGCTCTGGCCAGCCCTTCTCAGTGGGGTGAGCCGGTGCCAAGCCCCGTCCCCCATGTACTGGGGCCAGTGAGTCAAACTTCAGGTTTCCCAGGCCAGGAAGGGCTAGGGTAAGGCCAGCCTGCATGTTTGCTGCAGCTATAGCTGGTAGGGGAGGGAGAGAAGGAGTCTCAGGATGGGGTAGGGATGTGGGGTGAAGGGGGGGACTCCCCGATTTTCCCAGCCTCCGGGGCTAAAGGTTCCCAAGCAGCCACAGCCCAACCCAGAAGTGCAGGCACCACCCTGCTGGGGCACCCACCGCCAACAGCAAACTCCGGGCCCCAGGCTGAGTCACTCTTCCCGGGGATCTGGGTGGGGGGAGCCCCCAGTGCCTGTGCAAAGCAGTCCTTCGTTTCCAGGAACCTCGGAAGGGCTGGGCCAGCCTGGCCCACGGGACAGGCCAGGACCCGCGTGGCACAAGCAGGGCATGAGCCGCAGGAAGAACGAGGTGGGAGCAGCTCCCACTCCCCGGGGCTCTCATCCCAGCGGAGAGACGCAGAGAGGCCAGGCACAGGACTGGGAGGTCAAGTCTGCAAGGGTGGCCCAGCAGGCCAGTCAGCACTGTGGGGCAGGGCCTTGTCCCCCAGGCACCCAGGGCCTGATAGGAGCCACCGGGGTGCCCAGAAAGTGTGTGTCCAGTGAGTCCGGGCAGAGGCTGGGCCCGCCCTAAGCCAAGGAAGAGGGGACATGGTGTCTGCAGCTCTCCGTGTGTCTGTGCGTGATTAATGGAGCGTGCATGAGCTAGCCGAGAGCTGGTGTGGGGCCTGGACCCTGCTGAGGGAGGGGAGGCCCAAGGCCTGGGCCCCAACCCTGTATGGAGGCCGGGGCTGGGGTGAGACTCACTGCGGGGCGTCAGCAGGCTCTGGGGAGCCACTAAAGCTCATGGGGTACACTCAGTACCAGGGAGTCAGTCTGGGACCCAGACCAGCCCTTCCGGGGAAAACCACCAAATAGGGGCATAAGATTGGAAAAGCGTCACAAAAGCAAGCAAAAGCAGCAGGCAACCGGGTAAGGGTGGACCAGGTCCAGGCTAGGGAAGGTGAGTGAGCCAAGGAGAGGGCGCTCTGAAAGGTACCCGGCCCCGAAGCTCCTCACTCGGAGGCTTCACCACCAGGGCCACCTGGAGCTCTGGGTCCTGGAGTGTGGCGACAGAAGACACCCCATGCCCCCAACAATGTGGCAGCCCCAACAGTTGGGTGCCAGGATGAATCAAAAACAGCTGGGCGTGGTGCACACCTGTGGTCCCAGCTCCTCAGGAGGCTGAAGTGGGAGGATCGCGTGAGCCCAAGAGTTGAAGGCTGCAGTTGGAGGCTGTGACTGCACCACTGCACTTCAGCCTGGGTGACAGAGTGAGATCCTGTCTCAAAAAAAAAAAAAAAGAGAAAGAAAAAGTAAAAAGGTCAAATAATTTTATTAAAAAGTAGAACTTCTAAAAATGAAAACTTTAAGAAATTAAAACTTGAATGGGTTGATAGCATCCTTAAATGAGCTGGAAGACAGGTGAGGAGACAGTTTTAGAATGCAGCACAGGCAGCTAAATAAATCAAACAAAGAAGTGGGAGATTAAAAGATACCGGGAGAGAGAAGGCTTAGCAAACATTTAGTTTGTGTTCCAAAGGGAAGGAGACAGAACGGGGTGGAGGCAATATTTAAAGACATAACGGCTGAGAGAGTCCATAATTGAATAATGACACCAGCGCACACATCAAAGACATTCAAATTCCAGATCGAATAAGTAAAAATCAAATTGAATACTCAGATATCGTATTAAAACAGTCTTAAAAGCTGGTAGGTAGAACCGACAGCTCCCCTTGGAGAGTGATGGCTGACTCTGCCGATTTTCCGAGAGCCACAGCAAAAACAAGACAGTGGAAAGACATATTCAGTGTTTGGTGGGAGAGTGGCTGCAACCTGGACTCCTGCCACGGAGAATCTGACTCTGTCATGAACCTGTGTGGAAAAGATATTGACAGACCAAAAACTCATCCGAGTGTCCCACCACTGGTGCCTCCCTAAGGGACACTGTCTTGAGCAGAATGAAAGTGGTTCAGAAAGAACATGGTTGAAAGTCTGAGACTCAGGAAGAGTGAAGGGCAAAGAGGAATGTATGTAGTAAATCTAAAAACCAGTGGCTGTGCAAGCGATGATGATAATGACGCCCAGTAGACTGTTAAAAACATTATTAAAGAGCCTGACAGCAATAGCAGTAAGTCAGAAGGGAGCAGGGACTTCACATTTTCCTGGCTTCAAAGTCGATGTATTGTCAAGTGGGTATAAGTGTCACTTCCTTCACTTTAGATTTTGGTAAGTTAAACGTGCAATGAGTCATTTGTAGGCAGTTAGTAAAACACTAGAAACAGAGTCTGTAACCGCCAAACCAGAAGAAGGAAAAACCAAAATGAGGGAAGAAGTATCATTGAAAACTAAGGCAAGAACAGAGAGAAAAAGGAACATAGAATAGATGAGATCAATAAAAGTTAAATGAAATCAGATGCTAGATACTGTGGTCATCAGGCTCCAAGGCAGCCCGCAGTGATCCTCAGCCCCAGGCACTCATGCACGTGTGCTCCCCTCCTGTCTGGATCAGGCTTGGAGCACGTGGCCAGTAGAACATAAGAGCAGCAGGGGTACGTGATGTCTCGGGTGAGGTCATAAAGACCTCATGACTCTAGTGGTCTCTCTTGAATCACTCACTGGAGGAAGCCAGCTGCCATGTTGTGAGGACACTCAAGCAGCCCTGTGGAAGGTGCACGTGGGAGGGACTGATGGGGGGTGCACCATCAGGGAGGTGGGTCCCCAGCCCCAGGCAAACCTTCAGATGAGGCTGCCTCAGTTGACACTGGAACTGAGCCTCAGGAGCATCCCTGAAGCAGCACCATGCCAATGAGCCCTTCTCGGATTCCTGAGCCACAGAAAACGTGGAGGGTAAGTGTTTGCTTTGTCAGCAGCTCTGCTTTGCAGTGATTTCTTAAGCAGAATCAATCACCACAGAATCCATGTACACAGTTACCTTAAACGTAAATGTTACGTGCACTGGTTAAAAGATTAAACATTGGCAGTCCGGAATTTTATGCAGAGGAATATGTAAAACATAAGTTTATATAATGATGAAAGAAAAAACATACCAGGCAAATCCTCATCAAAATAAAATGAGTAATAATCTGAAAACTCTAAAGCAAGAACTGACAGAATTATATGCATCTCCAAGATTCTTATCATACTTTGCTTAGTAACTGATAAGCAGACGAAGAAAATGAAATATGTCAACAACACAATAAACAAATCTGGTCCAACTCATGATGCTGAACAGTCTCAGAACCACACATTATTTGCACCAAGAAATATTTACAAAAATTAACCTCCTAAAGCAACTGACAACCATCTAACGATGCGCAGTCCTCCATCTGACGTGCACTCCTGCACCTGACGACGTGCGCTGATGAAGACCTGGCATCCCCTGTCGCAGTTAATAGACTCCTGCCCCCTCTTACCACTGCAGGTCCATGCAGGTGTGGAGCAGCAAGTATAAGACACAAAAGGCATAAAGATCATAAGGGAAGAAGTGAAATGGAATTTGTTTGCAGGTGATGTGACTTTGTAGAAAACCCAGAGGCATCTACAAATTGCCAGAACCAAGAGGTGAATTTACCAACACACTGGGACACAGTGTCCATGTACAAAAGCCATTGCATTTCCCACATTTTAGCAACTAACAAGTGGAAAAATAAAATTTCAAATACTATTAATAAAAGCATCAAAATGTATTTGTAAAATATACTTACAAAAGTATCAAAAATCCATCAAATACCTAGGAATAAATATAATGAAAACTATGCAATAATATTGCTTGGAGAAACTGAAAAATACCTAAATAAATGTTGAGATACATCACGTGCAGGGATCAGAAACCTCAATATTGTAGGATATCAATTCTCCCCAAAACGATCTATAGATTTAATGCAATCTCAATAAACATTCCAGCAGATCTTTTTAAAACTTAACATGAGACTGGACGCAGTGGCTCATGCCTGTAATCCCAGCACTTTGGGAGGCCGAGGCGGGTGGATCACAAGGTCAGGAGATCGAGACCATCCTGGCCAACATGGTGAAACCCTCTCTACTAAAAATACAGAAAAATTAGCTGGGCGTGGTGGCGCGTGCCTGTCATCCCAGCTACTCAGGAGGCTGAGGCAGGAGAATCGCTTGAACCTGGGAGGCGGAGCTTGCAGTGAGCCAAGATCACACCACTGCACTCCAGTCTGGCAACAAAGAGAGACTCTGTCTCAAAATAAATAAATAAATACTTAACATGAAAATTCAGGCCAGGTGCGGTGGCTCACACCTGTAATCCCAGCACTTTTTGGAGGCCGAGGCAGGCAGATCACAAGGTCAGGAGTTCGAGACCAGCCTGGCCAACATAGTGAAACCCCATCTCTACTAAAAATGCAAAAATTTAGCCGGGTGTGGTGGTGGGCGCCTGTAATCCCAGCCACTTGGGAGGCTGGGGCAGGAGAATCACTTGAACTCAGGAGGCAGAGGTTGCAGTGAGCTGAGATCACATCACTGCACTCCAGCCCCAGCGACTGTGTGAGATTCTGTCTCAAAACAAACAGACAGACAACAACAACAGCAACAACAAAACCATTCAAATGACATAGAGTAGCCAACACAACTTTGAAGAAGAAACAAAGTTGGAAAATGTACACTCTCATATTTGGTTTTGTTTTGTGTTTTGTTTTTGAGGTGGAGTCTCTGTCACTCAGGCTGGAGTGCAATGGCGTGATCTCAGCTCACTGCAACCTCTGCTTCCTGGGTTCAAGCAACTCTCCTGCCTCAGCCTCCTCAGTAGCTGGGATTACAGGTGCCCACCACTCGGCCTCCTAAAGTGCTGGGGTTGCAGGTGTGAGCCACCACACCCAGCCCACTGTCATATTTGAAAACTTCAAAGACAGTGTGGTATTGATATAAGGATAGGTAAATAGATTGTTGAAACAGCATAAATAATCCAGAATTCCTTCAAGAGAGTCTGTTTTTGACGAAGATGCCAAAGTAATTCAGTGGGAGGAAGGATGGTCTTTTTGATGATGGCGCTGGAACAACTGGACCGCCACAAGAAAATCTAAATTTAACATTTTATTTAGGAAGCAAGAATGCAATTCAGGGCATACACACAGACGGGGTGATCTCACTATATCTGAAGAACCAAGAGAAGGTTGGGAGTTTTCTTAGAGAAGTACTCTGTGGTGTTTCACAAGCAAGCTCACCAGAAAGACCAGTAAGCACCAGGAGACTTGTGGGGCTCTGACTGGTGAACGATGGCGTGGGTGAAAGTACTTTCAGAGTCCCAGCAGGTTGTTTCAGCAGCTCACAGATAAAACTGTCTTTGGATTACATGGGCTGTTTTAGGTGCTGGGCTCATGAAAAGTTTAATTTTTGGAGCAGGTGCCAGGTTATGTTCTGAGTATTTTTTTTCCTTGCCCCTTGATTCTGAATTAGTTATGTAGGACAAGAATGAGCCCATTTGTATCACTGGCTTTTACAACACCATACACAAAAATTCACTCAAGATGCATCATTGACCAAAATGTGAAAGTCAAAACCACAAAGCTTGTAGAAGGAATCACATAAGAGCATCTAAACGCCTGAGGGGCTGGACACCCTGTTTACCCTGAGCGATTACTACACACTGCATGTCTGCATCATCCTATCTCATGTAATCCACAAATAAATACACCTACAGGGCACCCACAGGAAAAAAAAATTAGCAAAAACTCCAAAAATAAAAGAATCACTAAGAAAGCAAAAAGGCAAACCACAACCTGGGAGGAAACAGTTCCATTGTGCATATCTGACAAATAAATACACAGAAGAGGCCTGGCGCAGGGGCTCAGGGCTATAATCCCAGCACCTGAGGTCGGGAGTTCGAGACCAGCCTGCCCAACATGGTGAAACCCCGTCTCTACTAAAAATGCAAAATTAGCTGGGCATGGTGGTGCATGCCTGTAATTCCAGCTGCTCAGGAGGCTGAGGCAGGAGAATCACTTAGAATCCCGGAGGCAGAGGGTGCAGTGAGCCGAGATCACGCCACTGCACTCCAGCCTGGGCAACAGAGCGAGACTCTGTCTCAAAAAAAAAAAAAAAAAAAACAAGAGTTAAAACCATGATGAGATACCCGTACACCTACCAGACTGGCTAAAAACACATCCTGACAATACCCAGTGTTGGCAAGGATGTGGGGCAACCAGGACTCTCATGTGGTGGGTGAGAGTGCAAAACACCACAACCACATTGGAAACTGGAAGTTTCTTCTAAAGCAAAACCCAAGCATCCTTCATGACCTAGTGGTGAAACTCTTGGACACATGGCCGAGATAGACAAAGGCACATGTCCCCGTAACGGCCGGCACGGGATGATCAGAGCAACTTCATTTATCACAGTCCTACACTGGAAGCAAGGCAGCTGTCTGTCAGCAGAGGACCAGGCAGGCTCTGGCACATGTGTGCAATGTAGTACTGCTCTTCACCAACAAAGGGTGCACACCTGTCACACTATACAGCCACTGCACCTCAGAGAGGAGGGTCAGTCACGGAAATACACCGGCCACTTTGCACAGCCACTGCACCTCAGAGCGGAGGGTCAGACACGGAAGTACACCGGCCACTCTGCACAGCCGCTGCATCTCAGAGGGGAGGGTCTGAGTTCGAGATTAGCCTGACCAATATGGTGAAACCCCATCTCTACTAAAAATACAAAAAAAATTAACTGGGCGTGGTGGCACATGCCTGTAATCCCAGCTACTCAGGAGGCTGAGGCAGGAGAATCACTTGAACCCAGGGGGCGGAGGTTGCAGTGAGCTGAGATTGTGCCACTGCACTCCAGCCTGGGCAATAGAGCGGGACTCCATCTCAAAAAAAAAAAACAACAGATCGGCCGGGCGCAGTGGCTCATGCCTTTAATCCCAGCACTTTGGGAGGCCAAGGCAGGTGGATCACCTGAGCTCAGGAGTTTGTGACCACCCTGGCCAACATGGTGAAACCCTGTCTCTACTAAAAATACAAAATTTTAACTGGGCATGGTGGCAGGCGCCTGTGGTCCCAGCTACTCAGGAGGCTGAGGCAGGGGAATCGCTTGAATACGGGATGTGGAGGTTGCAGTCAGCCAAGATCGCGCCACTGCACTCCAGTCTGGGCAACAGAGTGAGACTCTGTCCCAAAAAAAAAAAAAAAAAAAAAGGAAAGATGTCTGTTCTTCCCAAGATCTGCAGATTCAAGGTGATCCCAGCAGTTTGCTGTTCTTAAGCCGACAAGCTCCAAGGGCAGCGTGCACTTCCTGTCCTGCTGGCCGGACGAGGCCAGGTGACCCTGTCGCCACAGGCATTTTGCAGCACAGGCTCTGAGTGCACCGGTACGGTTGCCTGACTGTCACGGAACACACACACCCCAGGTAGCCACTAGCGTAAGGCCGAGGGGCACGTGGAGCCGGCCTGAGCCCAGCCAGGAGTCTGGAAGCAAGCCCAGCTACTCCCGGCCGTGCCCTCGCCTGACCGCGAAACGCTCGTACGCACGGGTTGGAGTTGCTTGCCATGCATGGCAACTACAGCAGGAACCCGACTCACGCACGGACGGCAGCACCCGCGAGTGAGAGGCGCCTCCGGACGGCAGCACCCGCGAGTGAGAGGCGCCTCCGACACGTGGTGTCAGCTTTGGAAGCAGCTGGTGGGTGGTGAGGAAATGTCACAGATCTGGAAAGAGAGAGGCCTCTGTAAGGTGGTGTCAAAACGCCAGTTTGAATCAACAGTCATCTGTGGGGACTCCGAAGGCAGGCAATCTGCCCAGTGAACTCGCAGCACCGGGCAGAAGGGTCTGGAGGGAGAACCCTGGTGGCACGGCTGGTATGTGAGGATCAAAGGCAGAGGAGATCTTTCCTCTTCAGCATGAGAATCGGGCACTGGGCTAAGCCTCCAGCTGCCTCCCGCTGGTGACCTGGTAAAGGGGAACATAAACTCCTTTGGTCGGCGACATTGCTTACGGCAAAACTGCCCTGTGGCGGGCAGACCACGTGGGGACTGGGGAGGTCACTGGTGTCTGGGGGCCACGTCACGGGCCTTCCTGAGTGATCCCCACACCTGGGCGTGTGCCCTGCGGGCCGTAGCCATGGGGCTGCTGCAGGAGGAACTTCGCCTCCTCTGGGGCAAGAGGCATCTCCGTGAGTGGTCCCAGCCCATGAATCTCAGTGGGAATCAGGGAGGCGGCAACACCTGCACGCCATGGTAAAGACTCCCATCATGCCCTTGTAAAGACCCCCATCATGCCCTTGTAAAGACTGCCATCATGCCGTCCTAAAGACCCCCCCAACGCCATCGTAAAGACCCTCATCACACCGCCCTGAAGACCCCCATCATGCTGCCTAAAGACCCCCATGACACCACCTAAAGACCCCCATCACACCCTCGTAAAGATCCTCATCACACAGTCCTAAAGAACCCCATCACGCCTTTGTAAAGACCCCCATCACGCCGCCTAAAGACCCCCACCACACAGTCCTGAAGATCCCCATCACGCCCTCATAAAGATCCTCATCACACCCTCGTAAAGACCCTCATCACACCGTCCGGAAGACCCCCATCACGCTGCCTAAAGACCCCCACCACACCCTCCTAAAGACCCCCATCATGCCGTCCTGAAGACCCACATCACACCCTTGTAAAGACCCCCGTCACGCCACCTAAAGACCCCCCCATTGCCAGGCGCAGTGGCTCAAGCCTGTAATCCCAACACTTTGGGAGGCCGAGGCGGGCGGATCACGAGGTCAGGAGATCGAGGCCATCATGGTTAACACAGTGAAACCCCGTCTCTACTAAAAACACAAAAAATTAGCTGGGTGAGGTGGCAGGTGCCTGTAGTCTCAGCTACTCGGGAGGCTGAGGCAGGAGAATGGCGTGAACCTGGGAGGCGGAGCTTTCAGTGAGCCGAGATCGCGCCACGGCACTCCAGCCTGGGCGACAGAGCGAGACTCCGTCTCAAAAAAAAAAAAGACCACCCCATCACACCACCTAAAGACCCCCATCACGCCGTCATAAAGACCCCCGTGTGGGAGGAACGGGCGATGCTGCCCTGCTGGCCAGCCGTGTCCCTGCCCCACGTCCTTCTCAGCGACTCTGAGGCCAAGAGCAGCCTGTGGCAACCCTTGAAGTCTGAACGTTTAGCCGAGGCTTGGAAGAGCCTGATGGGGACCAGGCGTGGTGGCTCAGACCTGTCATCTCAGCCCCTCAGAGCCTTCAGAAAACCACACACAAGAGCCCAGCAGTCACTTTTGCCACCTCACTCAGCCGGGGAGTTTGGTGCTGTTCATGGAGCTGTTCAAGGTCCTAACTCAAATCCTCCTGACCCGCACCACACCCCAGAGGTGTGGAGACAACGGCATCACCCGCCAGGTTCTACAGAGGGGACCCCACTATCCACCTGGCCGGCACTCCCACTCCCCCCACCCCGAGACCCCCGTGCTGGGCTGGGACAGGTGCCCCAACCCTGCTCCCTGGTTCCCGCTGGCACCTCTGTCGGGGACACCCCGGGCCCCCGCACCGAAGCCTGCCCTGTGCCCTGCTCTGGAGGATGCAGCGGCTGCTGGCGAGGGCTGGGGATGGAGTAGACGGCCCCCAACCCCACAGCGCACCGCGAGCGGCGCAGGTTACCTTTGCCTCCGGGCGGCGGACGCAGGGCACCCTCCACTGTCTTCAGGCTCTGCGGCACAGGTGCCGGGGGGTGTGCATTTAGCTGGTTTGGATCCCAGTGTTTGGTGGGCTGGGCTTCGGGGACATCGGTGTTTGGGGCCTGACTGTCCACATGGTGACAGGGGCAGGCCGGGAGCTCCACCTTCCCAGCAGCCTTGGTGCGGGTAGGCTGCGGGGCGCCACTGCTCTCGGGCAGCCCCCTTAAGGGTGCCAGCAAGGCCAGGGGGTGCCCCTTCTCTTCCTTCAGTCCCAAGTCTCGCTGGAGAGCTGGTCGTGGGGATCCCTGGGCAGGGTCGGGCATGGCCGAGGGGCCCTGTGCCTCCAGTGGCTGGGTGTCCAACAGCAGGGCCGAGGCTTTGAGGTTGCAGGCAGGCAGCACTTGCCTCCTGGCTCTCCTCACACTGACGCCTGCCACGCAGAGGTCGGACCCGCTGAATGGGGGCAGCTCGACCACAGGCTGTGGGGAAGGAACAGGTGGTGGGTGCTGGGCTGTGGCTGGGATGGTGGGGTCCACGCAGGAGGGGTCTGCGCAGGAGGGGCTGGTTGGGGCACAGACCCCCACCTGACTCAGGAGTGAACACCTGGGGTCCCATGCAGACCACCAGGAGGCTCCCAGGCTCTGGAGAACCCGCGGGGAGCCAAGGCTTCCTGAGGCTTGGGGGTCAGCCTGGGGGGCCCCACACCCAGGAACTGGGCTGCTCTTTTCCTGAGTTTAGCCACAAAGAGGCCTCAAGAGAGAGGCACTGGCCATGCTTCCCAATGGCTCCAGCACATCTGCAGGCACAGGGAGGCCCCCGGAAGCTCCTCGGAGTGGAGGAGGCACTGCAGGCCAAAGCGAAGGAGCAGCACAGGGGGCCTGGAGGCTGCAGGCCTGGAGCCCCCACCTCTAACCAGTCAGGGCTGGGTGAGACGGGGAACAGGACGGAGGCACTGAGCCTGAGCCACCCCGCTCGCCTGGACACCTGGAATGGCCCCTTCCCCGGTGCCGACTCGGCACTGAGCCCCATGGGAGAGCAGGACAGGCCTGGACCCTTGGCGGGACCGAGCGTGGTCACAGAGCAGGATTGGCGTCCTCCATGGACCCCGCGGCGCTGGCGGCCTGCAGCTCCACCCTCGCCCAGTGACCAGGTGGCAAAGCATCCACATGGCGGGCAGCCACCAAACCCCCAGGGGATGGCGCCCACCGCCCGGGCAGGGGCGGACGTGGCTCACCTGCCTCCACAGGAGCTCAAAGTTGCCGACGTCACAGCTGCGGTCCACGGCCACCTTGATGGTGTCCTCCTGCACCTGTGCACACAGCTGGGCCGTGACCGGTGTGGACGGGTGCATGGTGGGGCTGGAGTTGATCTCGATCAGCCAGGGCCTGAAGTCCCTTCCAAGGACGAAGTCGGCCCCGTAGAGCTCAAAGCTGTTCTTGCGAGGCTCCACGTGGTCCTGAGCCACCTTCATGGCGTGGATGATGGCCTTCTTCATGGACGGATAGATGACACTGCCCCACATGGCACCACGGCCCTGGCGCTGCAGGTACTCCTGGAACTTGGTGCTGGTCCACATGTTGTGTGCGGGCAGCAGGGGGCTGCGGCCCACGTCATTCTTCAGGTGCTTCTGGACGGCGTTGTTGCACAGGTGGATGGCACTGTTGGGGGGACAAGGGGCAGGTGCTCAGCCTCCGCCGGCCCAGGAGGGCACCCAAGGCCGGTCCTCCCAGCCGCACTGCGTCCACCTAGCTGGCTCTAGAGAACCCTGCCCCCGAGGACTCCCACCCTTTGCTGGAGGGGCCCAGTTGGGATGAGTGTTACTGTCCCAGATGGTGGAACAGGGCTCAGATTGGTCATGGGATTGGCCAGGCACACAGCTCATGGCTGGAGGCCCAGAAATGGGTGCTGGAAGGGGGCCCTGGCTTCTCACTGCCTGGGAGCTGCTTTTGCACAGTGAGTTCCTGGACCCCCTCCAGGCCCACTTGACCAGAGGCAGTGAGCAGGTGAGATTCAAAGCACCTGGCCGGCTCCTCCCAGGCCTCTTCTGGGTGTGACTTCAAGCATGACCCACCAGGCATGACCGCAGCCCCTCGCCTGGGCCAGAGCTAACTCCCCTGCAAGGTCTCTGTTACGTGGCTCTCGGGCCTCCCTGGATCCTCACTCTCTTGAAAAGCAGACCCCCTGCCTGCCCAGCCATCAGGCCCCCCAGCGCCTCACACCAAGCGAGAACCACACAAGAGTCAGAGGAAGGCTTGACGCAGACAGAGGCTGGCAGCATCACCGTGCGGGCAGCACATTTCTGAGGACTCCGCAGGCTCTCGCCATCATGCCCACGAGGGGTCCCGGGTGAGGCGGGGGTCCATCCACCCCGGACAGCACACTTGCCTCCACCAGGCGCCCCACACGCCACCGACCCTGAACTGGGGCCCAGGTGCTGCCCACTCCATTCCGATCCCCCGGGCACAGGCAAAATGGTGCCTTTTAAGATTTTCCAGAAATGATACAGAGTGTGGGGTGTAGGGTGCTGGCTTTGAAGGTCAGTGGGCCTGGGCCTGTCCCTGGGGGAGGTCATCAGCCTCCCAAGCCTCAGTTTCCCCCATCTGTGCCTCTCGTGGTGGCAGGTGGCAGTGAGGGGGTCCTGCCCGTGATGCTTCTCACTGCGGCTGCCCCAGGCAGGTGGGCAGCAGCCCGTTCCCTGGCCTGAGGCGTCCAGCTCGCCCACTGCACTGACCTGTCCAGCTTGTCCAGGGAGAAGCGCTGTGTTGAGAACCGCAGGTAACTCTCCTTGTAGAACCAGATGGTCAGGGGGTTCCAGTCCGTGACGAGGAACCACTGTCTGATGTCGAACTTGGTGTCATAGATGAGCAGTGGCGTCTCGATGTACTTCTGGACCACCCACTTGTTGTCCCTGGGAAGAGGGTGGTCTGTAGCCGCCAGCTCCAGGATCTCTTCCACACGGTCCATGCACACTATGTCTGCAAGAGGCCACCGCTCAACCCAGCATGCCCAGCCCCTGTGCAGCGGGACCGAGCTCCTGAGCCCTGGGGCAGGGTCGCAGCTTGGCCCTGAGACCTGCACTGTCTTTGTCCAGGGCCAGCAGGCAGCATTGCTGGTGGGGGGACCGGGGACAGGGAAGGCCTAGCGCTCATGGATGAGGCTGAAGCCAGTGCCAGTCTCCCCCAGGCTCTCCCCCAACAGAACCAGCCTCTGGACTCCAGAGGGGACACAGAGATCAGTGAAGGGGCGGGGACAGAGATACTTTTAAAAGGGAGCCAGCAGGATGGGCGTGGTGGCTCAAGCCTGTAATCCCAGCACTTTGGGAAGCCGAGGCAGGTGAATCACTTGAGGTCAGGAGTTCAAGACCAGCCTGGCCAACATGGTGAAACTCTATCTCTACTAAAAATACAAAAACTGAGCCGGGTGTGGTGGGCACCTGTAGTCCCAGCTACTCGGGAGGCTGAGGCAGGAGAATCGCTTAAACCTGGAAGGTGGAGGCTGCAGTGAGCCGAGATCATGCCACTGCACTCCAGCCTGGATGACAGAGCGAGACTCAGTTTCAAAAAAATAATAATAAAAATAATAAAAAGAAGAGCGTAGACCAGTTTGTGAATACAGAGGAGGAAATCCTGATTAACCCGTCAACCCAGATTCAGCCTTGTGATTGGAACACATGCTGTGAAGACGCCTCCAGGTCTGCCCCAGCGCCGGAGTCCTGACCCCCACGCCTGCCTCTGCGTTCTGCTCCCACCCTTCCTTCCCTGTGGCGCTGTGGGCCTGAGACTGCCTCTCACTCACGGCCCCTGGCATCAAGTGCAGGCGTTGGTAGCTATGAACTCGGTGCAGGGAACGCCCGCACCAGGGGACTTATCTTGCCCAGATGAACGTGATGAACGAGGTGCAGGGAGCGCCTGCACCAGGGGACTCACCTCGGCCCCGGGACTTGGCCGCAGGCTTTATAATCCAGATGTTCCGGAACCCGTCGATGTCCGTCTGAGGGTTCACAGACGTGATTTGATTCAGCAGAGCCTGGCACTGCGGAAAGTAATTTCTTGAATCGGAGATGAAAGCATCGCCACTACAAAGCAAGATCCAGAAAGTGCATGAGACTTGGAGGCCTGGGTCCCGCCCCACCCACCAAGCAGGCACTCTGCTCTAGGATGGTCTGTAGCTGACCTGGCGGGAAAGGGCTGCGGGTCGGCCCAGGAAGTTCTGCCAACAGTATGGACACCTGAAAACACAGCCCTGTGAGGCTGCTCCAGACAAGGGCTGTGTTAAGACACTGGGGACCCCAGTGTGTGGGTCGGAGCCAGCCACAGGCCCCAAGCAGCACCCTGCCTAGGTGGAAACGGTGGGAGGCACGGGGCGGGAGGCGTAGCTATGGTGGAAACGTGGGAGACACAGGCCGGGGGCGGATGCAGCCATTCCCAGGTGGCTTTTAGAACTCAAGGGTGCACTAGAGCTGTTTGAGTGGCTTTTAGAACTCGGGGGTGCACTAGAGCTGTTTGAGTGACTTTTAGAGCTCGGGGGTGCACTAGAGCTGTTTGAGTGGCTTTTAGATTTTGGGGTGCACTAGAGCTGTTTGAGTGGCTTTTAGAATTCAGGGGTGCACTAGAGCTGTTTGAGTGGCTTTTATAACTCGGGGGTGCACTAGAGCTGTTTGAGTGGCTTTTAGAGCTCAGGGGTGCACTCCTGCTGCCTGGATGGTGGGGGGGAAGCCATGCCAGTACCAACAGCTGCCCCAGGGCCCGTTGGACCCATCCTGCATGGGCAAACTCAGGGCTGTGAAGACCCAGTGTGGACCCCACGACATCCTAACAAGGTGGCCTTGGTGCAGGAGGGGGGACCAGCGGGGCTCTGAGGACACCAGCCATGACTCTCGCAGCCAGCCTGGGCTGGGGTGGGGAGGCAAAGCCCCTGAGGACACAGGACATCAGGGTTCCATTCCCACCTGCTGGGGGCAGCTTGAAGGGAGAAGTAAGGCTGAGGTGTCCCTGACAGCAGGGGAGGGGCCCCACCACTGTGGAGCTGTGGCCGGGGGGGGGGCTTGGGTGAGAGCCCCTGTGGTGACAAGCCCCTCCCGGGGAAGGACTGAAGGTGATCTCAGGCAGGGGCACCTCCCGGCTCTCACTGGCTGCCACGTCTCCTCCGTGGTGAGCACCGCACACTCCTGACCCCAGGATGGCAACAGGACTGTGATGAGGACTTGGAGCAAACCGGATGCAGCCAGCCCCCCGCGCCCCTGAGACATGCCTGTCTGTGCGGCACAGGTCAGCCCCAAACTATTGAGGTCTAAACAGGGTGGGTCACCCATGACATCCACCATGCTGGTCACAGCCAAGGCCGCCCAGGATACCAGCAAGCTCCCAGTGACATGTGGCTACAGCGACTCACTCAGGAGGATGAGCTGTGGGAAGGAATCCCTCACAGCCTCCCAGCACAGCCCAGCCCCGAGCCTGCCCTCACATTGGGAGGTGGTATTTGGGCAGGACCACCCTCCCCACAAGTGCACGTGCCACTGTGTTGCCCCTGCTTTGTGGGGAGAAGGCTGTGAGCAGTGAGGGACAGAGCCACTCAGGAGCCCAGCGGAGCATCGCACAGGAGCTGGCAAGGTCCAGGAACTATGAGATGCACACCCCAAACTCATCAGAGAACAAGCACAGGCCTCCAGATGCTGACGGCGAGCAGGGGCCACAGCCAGGGCTCTCTGGGTCCTGACCCCAGGGCACACCTGCCAGGGATCCCAGCTGAGCCCAGTAGGTGAGAATGACGGGCCCGAGGCACCGGGGACTCCCAGAGAGATCCCCTCCGGCAGCAGCTGGGAAGCTCCCCTGCACGCACACCCTCCTGATGCGGTTTGGGATGAGTCGGCCACAGGGACTTGCGGGGGTCCGATGCTGCCACCTGGTGGTCACCCCTGGGTCTTCCTTTTAATTCAGGTCTAAGAAAACGCAGTGGGGTGCACCCTCCCATACTCGAAAAAGTCAAGTTGCACAGTGTGTACGTCCATGTACGCTCGTGTGCACACCACCCGGATCGAGACACGAACGCCTCGGCTCCTCAAGAGGCAAAGAGACCAGTTACCAGGCTATCACTGCAGACAGGGCTGGCCTGCTCCTGAACTTTCTGTCAATGAAACCACACAATTTGTGCTCCTTTGTGTCTGGCCTCTTTCTTTTCTTTTCTTTTCTTTTTTTTTTTTTTTTTTTTTAGACGGAGTCTCGCTCTGTCACCCAGGCTTGAGTGCAGTGGCATGATCTCAGCTCACTGCAACCTCCAACTCCCAATTAAAGCAATTCTCCTGCCTCAGCCTCCCAAGCAGCTGCGATTACAGGCATGAGCCACCATGGTCGGCTAAATTTTGTATTTTTAGTAGAGGCGGATATCACCATTTTGGCCAGTCTGGTCTTGAACTCCTGACCTCGGGTGATTCCCCCTGCCTCGGCCTCCTAGAGTGCTGGGATTACAGGCGTGAGCTGCCGCGCCCTGCCTGTGTCTGGCTTCTTTCGACAGGACTGTGAGAGTCATCCACGCTGTAGCGTGGCTCAGCCCCTCCTTCTTGAACACAGTTTGGCAGTTTCCAGATTTGGGCCATCAGGAATGAAGTCCTTCTGAGGACACGTTTCCATTTCTCCTGCATAAATACCTCGGAATGGATTATCTCGGTCATTGGATATGCAGATGCCTAAACATATAAGAAACTGTCAAAGACTTTTCTAAATGGGTTGTGCCAATTTACACTCCCCTAGCCATGTCTAGAGTTCCAGCTGCTCCACACATTGGCAAACACTTGGTGATGTCAGTTTTTACTCCTTTTTTTTTTTTTTTTTTTTGAGACAGAGTCTCACTCTGTTGCCCCAGGCTGGAGTGCAGTGACACCATCTCAGCTCACTGCAACCTCTCTGCCTCCCGGGTTCAAGAGATTCTTCTGCCTCAGCCTCCTGGGTAGCTGGGACTACAGGCATACACCACCGCACCCAGCTAATTTTTGTGTTTTTAGTAGAGACCGTTTTCACCACATTGGCCAGGCTGGTCTTGAACTCCTGACCTTGTGATCTGCCCACCTCTGCCTCCCAAAGTGCTGGGATTACAGGCGTGAGCCACAGCGCCTGGCCCAATGCGTTCCCATTTTTAAAAGCCTTTCACGTATCACATGATATATCAAACTAATTTTTGTGTATTTGTGAAGCAGAATTCAAGGTACATTTTTTTTCATATGGCTGACCATTGCTGGAGCACCATTTAGTGAAAAGACCAACCTTTCCCTAATGATCTCAAATGCAGCGATCACAGATGGGAGGATCTATCTTTAGACTCTATTCTGTTACACTGATCCTATCCCAATGTCACATTTTGCTGCTGTAAATCTAGAGTAAGTCTTCAATTTGGAGCACAAGTCCTCTGATTTTGGTTTTATCAAGTCTGTTTTGGCTTTTCTTAAATCATTCATATTTCTATATAAATCAGTTCACTAATTCCTCCTGCCCCCTGCCCGCCCTGCAAAAGAAATACCTCTTGGGATTCTGGCTGGGATTACATTGACTCTATTGATTAGTCTGAGAAAAGCAAACATGTCTACACTATTAAGTCTTCTAAATGATTAACATGTTATACACACACACACACACACACACACACACACACACACGTTTATTAGGTATTTACTGTCACTTTAACTTCATAACTTTCAATTTAGGGTCTTGAATGTATTTTGCTATATTTATTTCTAGAGGTTTGTTATTTGATGTTAGTGTATTGTGTTTTTAGAATTTCATTTCACAGTTTGTTGCTAGAACATAGAAATATGATGGAGTCTTGTATATTAACTTTGTACCCAGTGGCCTTGCTGATTTCACTTAATTTTAACACATTACCATTTATTTAAATTATTTAAATATTAAATTTTCTATATGAGCAATCATACCATCTACAAATAAGAATTTTATTTCTTCCTTTCTGATCTTTATGCCTTACTTTTTTTTTTCCTGTACTATTAAACTAGTCAGACCATTCAGTCTATGCTGAACGGAAGTCTGATGGTGAGCAACTTTGTCTCATTCTGATTTCAAGGAGAACACTCACAACAGTATATAACCAATAAGAAGTATATTAGCTGTTGGACTCTTAAACTTTCAAATGAAGAGATCTGGCTGTGTGTAGTCAGACACACTTGTAATCCTAGCACTTTGGGAGGCCAGAGCAGGATTGCTTGAGGCCAGGAGTTCAAGACAAGCCTGGGCAATATAGCAAGACCCTGTCTCTATAAAAAAATTTAAAAATTAGCCAGCATTGTGGCATGTGCCTGGAGTCCCAGCTACTTGAGAAGCTGAGTTGGAAAGATCGCTTGAGCCCAGGAGTTTGAGGTTGCAGTGAGCTGTGATTGTGCCACTGCACTCCAGCCTAGGTGGATAGAGTGAGATCCTATCTCAAAAAAAAGAAGAGTTTTTTTCATTTCCAAGTTGGCTAAACAAATTTACAAGGACAGGTATTAAGTTTCATCAATTTTTGCCTCTTGAGGTGATTTTTTTTTTTTGCCTATTGAGATAATCTTACAGCTTTTCTTTTCCATTCTGAAAATGTAATAAAATTAACTGATTAACTTTTCAATGTTAAACCAACCTTGCATTCTTGGAATAAAGCCCATTTGGTTCTGATGCATTATTTCATTCACATTTCACTGGTTTCATTAAATAATATTTTGGTTAAAGTTTTGTATATATGTAATCATGAGAAATACTGGCCTATAATTTTTTGTTATTTTACTTTTTTCAAGTTTTGGTCTCAGGCTTTTCTGGCCTCATAAAATGATTAGAAAATGTTCTCTCCTTCTCTGTTACTTGAAAGCATTTGTGTGTTATTGGAATCAATTTTAAGTAATGAATTAATTAAATTTAATTAACTAGTGAAACCATTATGGCCTTGGATCCTCCTTTGTAGGAAAGTTTTTAAATTACAGATTTAGGCTGGGTGCAGCGGCTTATGCCTGTAATCCCAGCACTAACACTTATGTAACTGGAGCCCCAGAAGGAGAGAAGAGAGAGAGAATAAGACAGAAGGAACAGCCAAGAAATAATGGCCTAGAGTATTCTAAATCTGAGGAAAAATTCCAACCCACAGATCAAAATGCCCCACAAACCTCAATCAGGAGAAATACAAAGAAACTACTTGTAGAAGTGTTATAATCAAACTGCTGAAAACCAAAGACAGAATATCCTGAAGCATCAAGAGGAAAAGACGTTACCTTCAAAAAGAACAAAACTCGTAACTATAGATGTGCCAGCGTGGATGGACTTCACTGACCTCACGTGTATCAGCGTGGACGGACCTCACAGACCTCACGTGTATCAGTGTGGACGGATCTCACAGAACTCGTGGACCTCAAGTGTGCCAGTGTGAACGGATCTCATAGATCTCACGTGTGCCAGCGTGGACGGACCTCAAAGATCTCACATGTGCCAGCGTAGAGGAACCTCACAGACCCCCGCGTGTATCAGTGTGGACGGACCTCACAGACCCGCGTGTATCAGCGTGGACGGACCTCACAGACCTCATGTGTATCAGTGTGGACGGACCTCACAGACCCCCACGTGTATCAGCGTGGACGGACCTCACAGACCTCACGTGTATCAGCGTGGATGGACCTCACGGACCTCAACGTGCCAGCATGGATGGACCCCACGTGTATCAGCGTGGACGGACCTCACAGACCCCACGTGTATCAGCGTGGACGGACCTCACAGACCCCACAGCGTGGACGGACCTCACAGACCCCCACGTGTATCAGCGTGGACGGACCTCACAGACCCCACGTGTATCAGCGTGGACGGACCTCACGGACCTCAACGTGCCAGCATGGATGGACCCCACGTGTATCAGCGTGGACGGACCTCACAGACCCCACGTGTATCAGCGTGGACGGACCTCACAGACCCCACGTGTATCAGCGTGGACGGACCTCACAGACCCCCACGTGTATCAGCGTGGACGGACCTCACAGACCCCCACGTGTATCAGCGTGGACGGACCTCACAGACCCCACGTGTATCAGCGTGGACGGACCTCACAGACCCCACGTGTATCAGCGTGGACGGACCTCACAGACCCCACGTGTATCAGCGTGGACGGACCTCACAGACCCCACGTGTATCAGCGTGGACGGACCTCATGGACCTCAACATGCCAGCGTGGACGGACCTCATGGATCTCACATATGGCAGCGTGGATGGACCTCACAGATTTCATGTTGGGCAAAAGAAGTCATAAACGAGAGAGCACAGACTGTTCCCCAAATGTGAAATCTGAAAACAAAACTGGTTCATGGTTGCAGGAGCCAGAATAGGTGTGACCCCTGTGGGGTTCTCCCGAGAAAGGTTAACAGGAGCTGACCGGGGACTGGAAACGTCTTCTGTCTCAAGTGGACTACGGCTACGCAGGTGGACACGTGAGCAAAATTTCATCCACATGTACAGATAGGATTATACACTGCATGCCCTTAACTGTAGTTATGTGATCCCTCAATAAAAGGAAAAGAAAAATACTTGAGACAAAAAAACAAAACAACAAAAAAACAAAGAATCACACCCACCGTGGGATGAAGCATGAAGCTGCTGCAACCCCTCAGCACTGCCTACCCATCCGCACCCACGCCGGGGCACCCTCCGCCCAGCTCCTCTGGCGCACCCAAAAGCAACCCCCCCAGGAAGAACTGCCCTGCAGCACAAACCACCCACCCAGCGGTGAATGGGTACGTTATGAGAGTCAGTGAGCCATGAGCTTGAGGCAACCCTGCGAGCACGCGCCAGGCTGCCAGATCTGCCCAGACCCTCCTCGCCAGTCACGCGCCCCAGAGCGCTGGGCCGCAAGCGACACCTCGCCAGTCATTCACCAGCTGCCGCGAGGCTCTGGGGCGGCCGAAGGCCGACCACCTTGCCAGTCATGTCACCAGCTGCCACGCCAGCCACACCTCTGAGTCACTCACCATGAAAGACTGAGGCAGGCCAAGCGGAAACAGACAACCCCCACCTGCCTGTCTCTGGGCTGAGCCCAAATATGGACTCAATGTACGCTTCTGGCCGACTTGGAGATTACACAAGACGCGCAGATGTGCTACTGTTCCTAAGGCCCCCTGTAGGGGTATCATGCCTCTCAAGCAGTCATCAGGGGCCTGGGTGGGACAGGCAAGCATGAGGCCTGGGCACCCCGACACCCGTAAGGCGACCCAGACATCCAGGCACACACCCCATGACCGAAGCAAGCATCCCAGACATCCAGACAGGTGCCCCAATACCAGCAAAGCATCTTCACCACCCGAGCATGAAGCGCCCCAAGATCCATTACAGACACCCCGCAGTACCCAGCAAGTATCCCAACCATCCAGACGGAGTCCAAATGGCCAAGGACAGGCCATCCCAACACTTCAATACTCCCACGGTAACCTAATTGCGCAGACAGGGTGACGCCAATTCCCCTGAGGCTGCCACCTGCCCCGGAAGCTCCTGCAGTCCGCATTCCATGGCTCGACACGTACTCGGTGGGTGGCTGCGCCCCAACAAGTCTTACTGAAGGCTGAGTTGGGGATAGTAACGTGCTGTGTCAGGTCCTCCCACTCGCCTCAGGGTGTTGAGGTCCTCCGCGGCGTCCGCCGACGTGTCAATGTCCTCATGCTCCAGCTGCCCCAGGTAGGCCTGGCACACCTTGCACGCGATGTCCACAAGCTGGCTCGGGAGACCCCTGAGCTTTGCCTCAGCATTTTCGGCATCTGAAACCCAGACACAGGCACATGGAGTGGGAACCCCACCCAGGGGCAGCCCTGCCTGCCTCAAGGGGTGAGTCCTAAAGCCATGGACAAAGTTCGCTCCACTCCCTCTGTGCCCCAATACCCAACAAGTGTCCCAGACCCCCAGACAGGCACTCCAATACCCAACCAAGCTTGTCTGGGCGGCCACCCTGGATGTCACGCCTGCATCTGGGCAGGTGACTTCCTCCCTCCTGAATGGTCCCAACCTCCAATGGCTCTGTGAGTGCTATGTCCTCACAAGAAACACATGGACCCCGCCACCAGACCCTCAGCTCCTCAGTGGACCCCTCCGCTAGACCCTCAGCTCCTCAGTGGGTCCTGCCGCCAGACCCTCAGCTCCTCAGTGGACCCCTCCGCTAGACCCTCAGCTCCTCAGTGGGTCCCGCCGCCAGACCCTCAGCTCCTCAGTGGACCCCGCCGCCAGACCCTCAGCTCCTCAGTGGACCCCTCCGCTAGACCCTCAGGTCCTCAGTGGGTCCCGCCGCCAGACCCTCAGCTCCTCAGTGGGCCCCGCTGCCAGACCCTCAGCTCCTCACAGCAGCAATTACTGATAAGTTCAACGTCATTAAAATGAAAAACTTCTGTTCTGTAAAGGACAATATCAAGATGTCAAGACAACGAGAAGATGAGCCATAGATTGGGAGGAAATACTTGCACACATCTAATAAAGGAATATTACCTAGAGTATACAGAGAACTCTTGAAACTCAACAACAAGAAAACATAATTTTATTTTTTATTTTTATTTTTTTAAGACAGAATTTTGCTCTTGTTGCCCAGGCTGGATGGCAAGATCTCGGCTCACTGCAACCTCTGCCTCCTGGGTTCAAGTGATTCTCCTGCCTCAGCCTCCAGAGTAGCTGGGACTACACGTGTGCACCACCATGCCCGGATAATCTTGTATTTTTAGTAGAGATGGGGTTTCACCATGTTGGCCAGGCTGGTCTCAAACTCTTGACCTCAAGTGATCCACCCACCTCGGCCTCCAAAGTGCTGGGATTACAGGTGTGAGCCACCGCACCCAGCAAGGAAACAATTTTAAATGAGCAATCTGAACAGTCACCTCACCGAAAATACATACAGATGGAAAACAAACATATGAACACATGCTCGATATCATATACCGCTATGGACTAGCAACTCCATATCTATAAGTTTTTTCTATAAAATACCCTCAGAAATTCACAAGGAAATGGAAGCTGGGCACAGTGGCTTATGCCTGTAATCCCAGCACTTTGGGAGGCTGACACAGGAGGCTCGCTTGCTCCTGAAAGTTTGAGATGAGCCTGGGCAACACAGTGAGATCCTGTCTCACAACAAAATCACGACAATAATGAGACACTAATACAGACCCAGGAGAATGCTGCAAACAGAACACTGACCACATCAAAGGCTTGTGAGGATGTGGAGAACAGGAACTCTCCCTCATTGCTGGTGGAAATGCAAAATGGTGCAGCTACTTTGGAAGACAGTCTGGCAGTTTCTTACAAAATGAAACATACTCTTGCCATGCCACCCAGTAAGTGCATTCTTTGGTATTTACCCAAATGAATTCAAAACTCATGGCCACACAAAGACCTGCACACAGATATCGAGAGAAACGTTATTCATGATAGTCAAAACCTGGAAGTGACTGAGATGTCCTTCAGTAGACGAATAGACAAGTAAACAGTGGTGGATCCAGACAGTGGAATATTACTCAGCCCTAAAAAGAAATGAGCTCTCAAGTCATGAAAAGACCTGGAGGAATCTGAAGTGCGTATTACTAAGTCGAAGAAGCCCATCTGAAAAGGCTCCATGCTATGTCGTTCTAACCGAATGGCATTCTAGAAAAGGCAAAACCATGGAGACAGGAAAAACATCAGTGGTAGCCAGGAGCTTGGGGCGGGGGGATGAAGAGACAGAGCACAGGGAGTTTTAGGGCCAGGGATCGTCTCTGTCTGATGTTGGAATGGTGGATACACGGCATCATACATTGTCCAAACCTGTAGAATGTGTAACACCATTTGGGTTACCATGATGTGTCATTGTAGGTTCACCAATTGTGTTAAAATCATTAATTAGGCCGGGTGCGGTGGCCTGTAATCCCAGCACTGTGGGAGGCCGAGGTGGGTGGATCACCTGAGGTCAGGAGTTTGAGACCAGCCTGGCCAACGTGGCAAAACCCCGTCTCTACTAAAAATACAAAACATTAGCCGGGCGTGGTGCTGGGCACCCAACTATTTGGGAGGCTAAGACAGGAGAATCGCTTGAACCCAGGAGGCGGAGGTTGCAGTGAGCCAAGATCACGCCATTGTACTTCAATCTGGGTGACAGAGCGAGACTCCATCTCAAAAAAAAACCATTAATTAGGAGGCCATCAGACTGAGGTGGCCCAAGTGACCTGGTCTCCGACAAACGCAAACCACAACCTAACTCAGAATTGAAAACGAAACTTAAGCACAGCCAATCACAGGCAGCCAGCTGGGTTGTCACTCAGCACAAACAAGGCCACCGCTCCAGCATTCACCAATCAGGATTTATTTCCTCCGTTTCCACGTTTACTTAGAAGGGTTTTCCCCTCGGTGGAGCCCTTCAGCCGTCTGATTGGCACAAATCACTGTTTGCTCAAATACACTCTAAAAGTCTAATGCACCAACATTCATCTGTCAACAGCTGAAACGCACTGCTTTGGCGGGGGATGCTGGCGGTGGGGGAGGCACGGGGGCAGCAGAGTGTGGCAAATCTTGTACCCTCTGCTCAGCTGTGCTGTGACCCAAAACTGCCCTAGAAAGTACATTTTATTAAAACCAACCACCACAAAAAAGATTTGGGTTTTGTCCGAAAACACGACGGCTGGTTCACATCCCTGTGCCACCCAGGGCGCCTCTCCCTGGGGCTTCCTGTGTCCTCTCCCTGGGGCTTCCTGTGTCCTCTCCCTGGGGCTTCCTGTGTCCTCTCCCATGGGGCCCCTTTGGGGAGACTCAGGATGCGGCTTCGTGGTGGCTGTGGGGCAGGGCAGGCTTCTGACCACAGGCTGGAACCACGTCCACGGCACGGGACTGTGGCGGTGAGTGTGGGACTCGGACGTCCCAGGGCTGCGTTAACAGCCAGGTGCTTTACAAATGGGGTGACTTTGACGTTCAGCCCCACGGTTAGAAGAGAAAACCCATTTGTCGTGAGAATTGAGTCTGAGGCATCGCTGCATCCGGTCCCGGCTGCCGTGACCCTCAGGACTGACCACACCCAGGAGGCGGGAGGGACCCCGTGGAGGCCCTGAGCTCTGGTGGCCTGGCCCTGCCCTGCCCCGGCCCAGCGCACCTTGCCTGCTGCTCAGGTCGCTGTTCCCGGCCTCCTCCCTCCAGCCCCTGGGCTTGCTCCTGCCGCTCCGGCTGCAGCTCTGGTGGCTGACCACCCACTTGAGGATGCTGGATGCCATGGTGCGCCGGAAGTCTTCTGAAAGGACAGCACGGCCTCGCCCCATCTGCCCGAGCCGGGACTGGGGACTGGAGATGGGGCCAGGGCAATGGAGGCTCCCCGACCCGCCCCACTTCCCGCCCTCACAGCCGGTGGGGCCCAGGCCTGCTCCCACACCCCCACTCTGCCCGTCCTTCTCCCTGCAGCGCCTCTGTGACTGCAGCCATCCAACTGTACCCCTCGGCCTCCAACCATGGAGCCTGCCTCGCCCCAGCTGCTTGCCGCGCTGTCCACAGGCCTAGTGCAGAACCACACACTCCCTGCCTGCCCGCCCTCCCTCCCCGGGGTCCCTGGCCCCTGTACTGCCACGACCATGGCCATGGGAGGCCTCTCTCCGGTCCTCTGTCCTCAGACCCTGCCCCATCAGTCTGTCTCAGCACCGGGGGATCTTTCTAGAAGCCTCTCTGCTGACCGCCCTGGGGTCCTCTGCCATCTCCTCACTTACCCAGGAATTCCTGCTGCTCACTCTCGGTGCAGAGGCTGTAGCAGCGCGGGAAGAAGGAGTCGGGGTTGGCCGAGACGTACCAGGGCAAGCTCCGCATGTTCACGCACAGCCCGATCTCCAGAGACAGCGGCACGTTAGGTACGAGGGGCAGCTCAGCTCAGCTCCGCCTCGCTCACAAGGCGAGGACAGACCGTCCACCTCGGACTTGCCTGGCCATGGGGCACCACACAGCACCCCTAGGGCGGATCCCTCCCCCTCCCCAGACACACGGTCCCCCAGGGCCCCAGGCCGCCCCCTCCAGCCGGTCCCAGCAGTGGGTAGGTGGATGTGCAAGCCAGGCTTAGACGCATCCTTGAGGCAGTGGGGGACGTGGCAGGTCCCGGGGAATGGGGAGGCTGCAGCTGAGGGCACCGAGGGCGGTGGGCACTGGGGCTCCCTCCAGGCCCCTAAACGGGCCACAGGGTGTCCCACAGCTCAGGCCCCAGGAGAGGGAGGACCGGCTGCAGGACCCGGAATGCGGCCACACGCCCAGCACTGCCCACCACACACGATGCAGCACTGGCCATTAGAGAGGCATATCGTGAAGTCCCCGCACCCCAACGTCTGGTCTGTCACCGCGTTAAGGAAAAAAAGCAGCCGGCCCCCAGAAAACACAGCACACGCTGACTGGCTGTGCACACAGGGTCTTTGAAGGGGCCGTGTTTCCACAAGCAGCACTGGCTTATTATATAGCACTGGGTATTAGGTGCAGCAGGGAGCCTCCGCCCCACGCTGTGCTGAGGCAGCCGCACCTGGACTGTTGAGAGGGACCTCTGTGCCAGGGAAGCCCCTCTTCCTGGACCCCTCCCTCAGCAGGGTCCCCACACCCTGCGTCCTGGGCAGGCCCCAGCCCCGGGCCTTGGTGGGAAGGGTATGGAAGCTGCCTTGTGCAGGGCTGGAGGCTGGGGGAGGCAGGGGAGTGCCCAGTGCTGCGGGGAACGGCACCTCTTCCCCTGGGGACCCACAGCCCTTTCAGCATCCAAAGCCCTGTGGCAGCCGCCACTCAGCCCCATCTTTGGCTTGGCCTCTGTGCTCTGAGGAAGGGGCTTCTGTGGCCCCGGATTCACCCAGAGACACAGAGCAAAGGGCACAGGGGTGCAGGGGGTGGGGTGGGCACTGAGTGATTCTGGCCACGGCCTTAGACCAGGAGTCCTGGGAGGTGCCGAGGAGGTGGCTGGTGGCTGCCGATGGCCACCTATGGTCACTGACCAGCCACCGAGGGTCCCTAATGGCTGCAGAAGCCCCTCCCCACCACCCTTGCCGGGTCCCGCCATGCCCAAGCAGCCAGCTCACCTTGGTGGTGAAGGAGGCCGTCTTTGCGTAGTGGTTCAGCATCTGGTCGCAGGTCAGGCTGTGATAGTCAATGGCGTCCCTCTTGATGGTCCAGAGGAGGTACGGCATCTCGTTTTTTACCAACCTAGACTGGCAAGAAAAAAGTCTTTATTGATGCTCAGCATCCAAGGTTCACACCAGCCAGGATGGGACGGAGCGAGGCGACCATCAGCGGATACATGGCGTGCAGCGTGAGGATCCCAGATGGGCTCTGCTGCGGGCAGCAGTGCTCCTTGTGGTCCTCCTGTGCACCGGATGTGGGGCGCAACCAGGACCACGCGGGGTTTCACGGAGGGGCCTCGGGCTCTGGGGAGCCACCCCTGATGTGGGGCTGTAGGTGGGGCCTGAGCCTTCCGCACGGGGTCTATGTGGGTGTGGAGATGCACCACTTGCCGAGATGACACAACACTTCATAACCCAGAGCTCACAGTCCCCAGGACGGAAGCCCCCAGGCCTGCACTGTGGGCCCTGCGCACCTCTCCCTGAGCCCCAGGCTCTGGCCTCCCACTCCTGCCGTGCTGATAGAGGGGCTGGGCGTGGAGCTGGGGGTGTGTGGTTGGTGCTTTTCTGTTTACAAAATGGCATCTGTTAAGTCAAAATTCCAACCAGGCTGGGTGCAGTGGCTCACGCCTGTAATCCCAACACTTTGAGAGGCCAAGGCGGGTAGATCACCTGAGGCCAGGAGTTCAAGATCAGCCCGGCCAACATGGTAAAACCTCGTCTGTACTAAAAATACAAAAATTAGCCAGGCATGGTGGTGGGCGCCTGTAATCCCAGCTATTCGGGAGGCTGAGGCAGGAGAATCACTTGAACCTGGGAGGCAGAGGTTGCAATGAGCCGAGATCGCACCACTGCACTCCAACATGAGCAACAGAGTGAGACTCCATCTTAAAACACGCCCCCCCAAAAAATATATGTGTGTGTGTGTGTAAATAATAGCACACTAACTGCTAACCACTAACCACTGTGTACGGGGTGAGAAACAGCATCGTCAACAGAGCCGAAGTTCCCCAGCCACCCCCACCAGGTAACTGCCACCTGCGGCTGTCTCTCCTCCAGGCGCAATGACCAGAGTGTTTCTGTCTCTCCGGAATGCACGTGTTACAATCCTCCCTCCCGGGGCGATGGCATAGGAGGCGGGCTTTAGAATTAGGTCATGAGCCTGAGCCCCTTACGATGGGCTTGCACCCTTACAAAGAGGCCCCAGGAAAACCCTTGCCTCTGTGTGACGACGCAGAGAGAAGCCAGTTGCCCGTGAAGCAGGACGCTCTCAGAGAGCCCAGCCACACTGCCCCGACCCAGACTCCAGCCTCCAGAACAGTGAGGAATGTTCTGTTGTGTCCACACCACTGCCCACGGACCTGTGGGAGCCGCTGGAGCACCCACGACGCTCTACGGGAAAGGCACTGACTCCAGGACCCTGGAAGGACAAGCTCACTGGTCGTGCGGAAGGCGCCTCATCAAGTCTGGGTCCATTTTTCTATTTGTCTTTTCATTACTGATTTGTGAGTTCTTCATATATTCTGGACATTTGATCTTCTAACTTTTAAGTACTGCAAATGTCTCCTCCCACTCTGGTTTCTCTTTCGTCCTCTTTATGGTGGAGGGTTGGGAGCCCTCAGGGACTAGGCTGGGCTGGGGAGGTGGGGAGGCGCATACTGCCGTGTTGCTGGAGACCCCAGCTCACTGGCTGGCCAGGCCCCATCCTGCAACACACCGGCTGAGCTGTCCGAGCTCTGCTGGGCCTCAGTGCCCTCAGCTTCCACGTGCACGCGGCAAGCCAGCCTGGTGTGGCTGGAGGGGAGCTGGGAGGACAGGGTCCACTCACTGCACAGCGGCTCATCCAGCACCAAAGGGCTTGCCCCACCCCCGGGGGGCAGCCAGGTCCTGCTGCCCGGTCAAGGGGCCCTGCTGTGACTGGGGCTTTGCCCCCGCTGGGCTGCCATCCCCCTAGGACATGGGCGAGTGGGCATGGAGCAGGGTGGTGGTGTGAGAAGCCTTGGAGAGGCGCGGCTGACCACAATGCATGCAGGGGATGCCCACGATGCACGCAGGGGACGTACCATCACGTTGTGGATGTCGTCTGTTTTCTCCAAGGCCATTTCTTGATTTTCTTTGACTTTGCCACATGTAACATCTGCCAACGAAACACGGGGGAGGCCTGAACATGGAGCCTCAGCCAGACTTCCCACGCCGTGTCCGTTACCACCACCACAGGCAGGACAGCAACTTGTTTACTCCCAGAAACCTTGCTCCAGGTGGGGCCTTCCCCTGGTGGAGCAGGTGCCTTTGTGGGTCCTGAGTCCGGCTCGGGGCGCTCTGGCAGCCCCCATACATCCAGTGAGCATCCACTGCATCGAATCTCCCCAGGGCTGTGACAGGGCTTGGGGGCCCGGGATTCCTGGAGGCCCAGGTGTCCCTGGGTGTGGAACGGTGGAGACAGCCCGGGATGGGGGTGGGAGTGATAGAGGCTGAGGGGCCACGGGCAGGGTGGAGGAGGAGGGGGACATTTGATCCGGGTGTCAATGGGGCCGAGAGGACACAGACACAGCTGTGCAGATGTCAGCCAGGAGCAGCCAGCGCCGCGGGGGCCTGAGAAGTGGACTTCGGGGACCTGGGGCTGGAGGAGGGACGGCCGGGGCCAGGCAGAGAGAGGATGACAGAAATCGCCCGGGCAGGAGGAGACCTGGGCGGGGGCCACAGGGACTCTGAGAAGGGAGCAGGGCTGGGGACTTGAAAGAGTTTGCCTGGCACGACCATCTGGGGCAGGGAGGCCAGGAGGGCGATGGAGACCTGGGGTCGGAGACACCCCATCAGGCACACCAGGACCGAGGGGCAGGCACCACAGTCAGGCCAGTGCCGACTCCCCCTGCCTGTGACAGACACACACGCCCTGAGCTGAGACGCGCGCCTCCGATACGCTACCAGCAACCCCAGCACCTTCGTCCTCGACATCCGGAATGACCTTGGGTAAAAAGTGGAACTTCTTCTCCACCCAGCCCTTCCTTCGCAGAGCGGCCCGGACCACCGGGTAGTGTCCGTAAATAGAGAAAATCTTCTTCTCCTAAAATGGCAAGAGGATATTTTATTTTATTTCAATCATTTTTGGGGGACTGGCAGACTTTGGTTGCATGGATAAGCTCTTTAGTGCTGGTTTCTAAGATGTGGGGGCATCCATCACCCAATAATGTAATTTTTTTTTTTTTTGAGATGGAATCTCGCTCTGTCACCCAGGCTGGAGTGCAGCCTGGCCAACACAGTGAAACCTCCATCTCTACTAAAAAATACAACCTCTACTAAATAAATCTCTACTAAAAATTAGCTGGGCATGGTGGCATGCACCTGTAGTCCCAGCTACTCGGGAGGCTGAGGCACAAGAATTGCTTGAACCCGGGAAGCAGAGGTTGCTGTAAGCTGAGATTGTGCCACTGCACTCCAGCCTGGGCAACAGAGCAAGACTTCATCTCAAAAATAAGTAAGTAAATAAAAGGTAATGTCAGCCAAGTCCCCACAGGGAAGAGGCTGCAGCTCGGGGACACAGTGCGTCAGAGACCAGACAGATAGATTCCAAGTCCCAAAACAAATGTCCTTTTAAAAAAATATCCCCCTCTCCACTGAGTCCCAAGGAGCATTTACCTTAATAGCTTTTTCCGTTAACTGCCTTGCTATCTTATATCTGTCTAATCTGGAGGAAGAAGCCAAGTCTTGGGAAATTCCTTGTTTTAATTCTGCAAAAGAGAAAGAGGACATCAAATCAAAGGATAAGGCATCCAAGGCCGGGCGCGGTGGCTCACGCCTGTCATCCCAGCACTGTTAATCCCAGCACTGTGGGAGGCCGAGGCGGGCGGATCACCTGAGGCCAGGAGTTCGAGACCAGCCTGGCCAACGTGGTGAAATCCTGTCTCTATTAAAAATACAAAAGTTAGCCGGGCACAGTGGCTAACACTTGTAATCCCAGCACTGTGGGAGGCCGAGGCGGGCGGATCACCTGAGGCCAGGAGTTCGAGATCAGCCTGACCAACATGGTGAAACCCTGTCTCTACTAAAAATACAAAAGTTAGCCGGATGTAGTGTCTCATGCCTGTAATCCCAACTACTAAGGAGGCTGAGGCAAGAGAATCACTTGAACCGGGAGGTGGAGGTTGCAGTGAGCTGAGATGGCGCCATTGCACTCCAGCCTGGACAACAAGAGTGAAACTGTGTCTCAAAAAAAAAAAAAAAAAAAAAAAAAAGACATGCCTCTGATGAGGCCAGACATGAAATGGCATATTCTGAGAGGCGCCATCCATAAGCCAGCAAAATTCATCCACAGTCCACAGTGATGGAGACCAGAGCTGTGAGAGAGGGCGTGTGGCCGGACACTGGTCCACGGAATGGTCGTAGAAGTGTCAGAGGTGTGTGAACCAAAGCAGCTCCATCTTGAATAGGGGCTGGGTAAAATGAGGCTCCATTCCCAGATGGTGAAGGTGTTGTAAGTCACAGGATGAGATAGGATGTTGGCACAAGATACAGGTCATAAAGACCCTGCTGATATAAAACAGGTTGCCGTAAAGAAGCTGGCTAAGACCCACCAAAACCAAGATGATGATGCCAGTGACCTATGGCCATCCTTACTGCTGCACTCCCACCAGCGCCGTCTCAAGAAACATAAATTGAATTAAATTAAGAAGCTCTGATTATCAAAAGGAAGCATGAAGTGACTGACAAGCTGCATCCATCTGACAAAGAGCGTGTATCCAGGACATACAGAGAACTCCTCCAAGTCCGTGAGGTCACAGAGCAATCTCACCGCGGCCTGCAGACCCAGAACCACACTCCAGAAGGAAGAGCTCCAAATGGCCAATAATCAGGTGAAAAACAGCTCAACACCTTGAGCTGTCTGGAAATGCAAATTAAAACCAGTGAGATTTAATTAATGCAAATTAAAACCACACCCACCAGAGTGCCCAGAGTGGCAGTGAGGTCACCCACTGCGGGTGGGGACGGCGGAGGTGGGGGCCACCGGAGCTCTCAACTGGGCCCTTAAATGGTTGGGGGAGCTTCTAAAGCTAAAGCTTCTAAAGCTGTAACCCAGCCGTTGACCCCTAGGGAGCATTTACCCACGAAGACGAGCCTGAAGAGGGCAAGGGCAGGAAGGAAGAGAAACGCGAGTACAGGGCCCCCCATGACCCACCAAGGGAGCCCTTCACACCCACACGTTTAATTTCCCAGTTTCCCAAGAAGCTGGACAGTGGGATCGGGATGCAGGAGGCAGGAGCCAGCGCCCCCCAACACTCCTGGGGTCCTATGCCTGGACTGCCCAAGAGAAGGCACCTGGCTCTACAGCTCAGTGAAGTGCCCGCCCCCGGATTCCCCGATTTCCTGGCAGCAGGCTGCAGCCAGCATTGCCTCTGAGCTCGGGAGCTGCAGCACTGCTCTGGGCGAGTGGCTGGTACGCAGGCAATACACGATACGCACTATTTTCTTCTCTCCCGTCTCCGTTGGAAGAAGCCGACCAGAGCCCCTTCCTCTCTGGCTCCATGCTGGCCTCCGACAGCTCGCTCTTTGCTCCTCTGGACCCTAGAGGGGAGGGTGTGGTGGTTATGCGGAAACTGGGAGGGTGTAGGGGGCCCTGGGGATGGAGAGGGTTCTGAGGCCCATGCTGAGGGTCAGGTCTGGGGTTGGGAATCAGGTCTGGGTTGGGGTCAGGTCTGGGTTGGGGGATCAGGTCTGGGGTTGGGGGATCATGTCTGGGTTGGGGGATCAAGTCTGGGTTGGGGGATCATGTCTGGGGTTGGGGCATCATGTCTGGGGTTGGGGGATCATGTCTGGGTTGGGGGATCATGTCTGGGGTTGGGGGATCATGTCTGGGTTGGGGGATCATGTCTGGGTTGGGGAATCAGGTCTGGGGTTGGGGGATCATGTCTGGGTTGGGGGATCATGTCTGGGTTGGGGGATCAGGTCTGGGGTTGGGAGATCATGTTTGGGTTGGGGGATCAGGTCTGGGTTGGGGGATCAGGTCTGGATTGGGGATCAGGTCTGGGTTGGGGGTCAGGTCTGCACTGGGGTCAGGTCCGGGTTGAGGGTCAGGTCTGGGTTGGGGTCAGGTCTAGGTTGGGGTCAGGTCTGGATTGTGGGATCAGGTCTGGGGTTGGGGGTTAGAACTGAGTTTGGTATCAAGTCTGGGTTGAGCGGCAGGTCTGGGAATTGGGGGTCAGGTCTGGGTTGTGGGTATCAGGTCTCAATTGGGGATCAGGTCTAGGTTGAGGGGGAGGTCTGGGTTGGGGGGCAGGTCTAGGCTAATGAGGAGAGGTATGGGGTTCTGAAGGCGGAGGGGAGTGGACAGTTGCGGAGTTCCCAGAAGATGGGGGAAAGTGGGGAGAAAGCTCTGGGCTTTCGAGTGCGGGCGGGTGGGTAGAGGTGGGCAGGTGTCGAGGGGGAGTTCTGTGGTTCCGAGCGAGGATTCCGAGTCTGGGATTCCTAGAGGGAGGCATCTAGAATTCGGAGGCCCGGGGCGGGGAGAGGGGGTAGGCCTGGGTTTCGAGATGTGGGGGGCGGGTCTGGGGTTCCGAAGGACGAGCCTGGGGTTCCGCGGTCGGGGGGTCGTGCTCACCGGGGACCGGGTCAGTGGCTCGCACCGCGCCGCCCGGCGTCCTGGGGTTGCCCGGGGCAACGTGCTGGGGCGGCCACGCGCATTGTGCACCCCCGGTGCGGCGGCTGCTGGGCCCAGAGCCTGGGGCTGTGCGGCGGCGGCGGCCCCGGGGCGTGGGGCTGCGCGGGCGGCGGGGGACGCGGGGGCGCTGGGGGCTGCGGCGTGCGGGGGGCGCGGGCCCGGACCGGTAACAGTCGGCGGCGCTTGGGCTGGGCCCGGGTTGGGGTCCGGGTCCCGGGCTGCTGTCGGAGCAGGCGCGGTTGCGGGGTTCGGGGCGCGGGACGGTGCGCGCCATGGTGTCCGCCCCGGGAGGGCCCGAGTGTAGCCCCAGGTCACGCGCTGCGGCCCCGCGGCCCCCTGTGAAGGTCACACTCAATCCCCCACCAGGTCACAAAGACCCGCGGGTCACATCCTGCCCCTCCCCTCAGGCCTCCCAGGCCCGCCGGGCTTTCTCGCCCTCCCCGGGGCCCTCACGCCACCCGGTCTCCCTGGGCCCTGCCCCACGCGAGGCTGGAGCGGCGGGGTGAGGACGCCGCGGACGCTTCGCTCCTCCCGGGCTACGCGCTGCGGGTCCTGGTTGTTGGGGGCGATGGGGTGACCGCAGCAGCGCCCCCGTCCTGCGGTGGAACCTGGGGGGGCCTTGGTGCCCGCAGAACCACTCGTGGGGTCCCACGCCTCTGTCCCCCGGGTGTTCTGAGCGCACCCAGGTCCACACGGCCCGTGTCCTATCCCCTCCGACCCCGCAGATCAGATCACCCCACTCTCCCATCACCCCGCCAGGGGTAGCTGGTGTCTCATCCGGCACCTCGGGGTGGGGGTAGGAAAGACACACCCGCCCCACCAGGACCCTCACTCGTGGCAACTTTCCCAAGCCTAGATGCCTTTGGTTTTAAATCAACTTTATTTTGCATTTAACTTCCCAAGATACCCCAAAAGGGAGTTTCTGCGCCGACTCTGAAGGGACTGGTGGGGGACTTGAGGGGCAGGGAGTGGTTGCGTCCCCTGGCCGGGGTGGTTCCTTCCCAGCTCCCTCCCTCTTCCCCCAGGAATGCCACTGGGCTCTCACCAGCCCCCTGTACTGGCCTCTAGGGATTACACAAATCAGTGAGTGAAAAGCTGGCCCTCCCTTCACCCAGCCCTCCTCCCTGTGTCCCGAGGTTTACCCTGCTGAGACCCAACATTAAACAGCCACAGCCACGTCTACAAGGCAGCGTTTATTGCTCAAGCGTATTAAACCAAAACGTAGATTGAAAGAGACGGTTCTTTTAAACCCCATTTGTCCGGATTTTTTAAGCGCTCTAAAATAAGAAAGTGAAAGGCAGTAAAAACGCTCCAAGTGCCTAATTCTGGCTCTGAAACTTGAGCTCTCTGGTCTACCCCCAAGAAGACATCAGTGCTGTCCCTGTGGCTCCCACCCCATTCCCAGGAGCAGACCCCACCGGCCTCCAAGCTGCAGGGAGGTGGGAGTGCCCTGCAGACGGGGTGGGGTCTGCATCCAGTGCCAGGAAGGGTGGCCTCTCCTCTCCCACATTGGCGCTTGTTTGGGACCGTGGCCAAAGCGTTTGCCCGGCCCCTGTCTCTGTGGTTCTGGAGCTGCTGAGGGCTGCAGAGAGGGACTGGCTTGTCCCCTCTCGGAGCATCTGGGGGGGACGTCTTGCCTGCATTCCCTTTGAACGGTGGAAAATAATGATCCCACTTGTTGTGAACACCATGAAGGTATCTTGGCAGCCAGAGTTACTCCTGCTCAGCAGTGGGAAACCTGGGAGGGTCCTCAAACCCCCTAGCAGGCAGCCCCATCCAACTGCATCTCCCAGGCCTCCTGGTTCTTTGATCCTGATGGCCCCAGGCCACAGAATGCATCTCCGGGCCTTTCCAGCAGCCCATGGGGGACCAGTCAATACACCCGAAGGCAGTAAAGGGAAAATGTTCATGTGTTCTCAGACCAGAAGGAAAGAAACAAAACCACTGTGAAGAAAAACACCTGCTGGAAAGTAATGACCAAAATAACAAGATTCCTAGTTTTACAGTCACCCCAACTCACTGCAGATTTACTGGGAGGATCCAGGCACCCTCGGGGAAGAGGAGACGCAGGGAACCCACTCCTGGCCATGGCACTGCCCAAAGCCAGTGTTATTCTCACACCCAACTGTCCCTGCAGTCTGGCAGGTGGGCAGTGACCGCCTGGGCTGTACCCTAAGACCCCAAAACAGCAGAGATGGAGAAGACCACTGGCCCTGGGGTCTTCTCAGTGAGGATCAAGACAAAGTACTTGCTAGGAGGTAGAGGGGGCTGGGTGAACCTGTGAGGATTCCTGGGCTCTGACCTGATCTGTCCTACATTTTGAGTAATGGGAGCAAACAGAAGGGAGCGGCTCAGCTTCCCCCGGTCACTGGGGCCAGGGAGTCACCGGGGCCAGGGAGACGTGGTCGAGCCCATTTACAAAGCCTTAGATGCAGTCCCACCCCCAAGAACACTGCCTATCACATTAGCGGCCACGTGGCACTCCAAGCTGGGCATGACAGTGCCCAGGATGTGGGCAGTGCCTGGGACGTGGGCCAGCCACTGTGGCGGCAGATTCCTCTAGAATGACTGGGTCTATGTAGGAAGACAGGGCAGGCGACCCGGTGTGGACCGGTGTGGATTTCACCTGGGAGAGCAGTGGCAGCTCATGTCACTTGCACCTGGGCTCTGAAGGAGGGGCCCCCACAGCTCCCGGGCCAGGACAGAGGTGCCCAGCCTTGTTCTCACTGTCCAGGAAGAGCCGCTGGGCAGGCTGAGCCTGGGGCAGGTGCACCTTGCAGGGAAGTAGGTAAGATCCCACTGGGCTGACTGAGCACCCAGGATAGACCCGAAGAGTGGAGGGAAGAAGCCGGGTCAGAGGGGGCAGGAGACGCAGGGACCCACAGTCTGACCCCGGTCAGGTCCAGAGAGCCCACTCCAGCCCAGGCCATGAGAGAGGCAGGACGCGGAGCTGGGGCCTGCTCAGCGGTGGGGCTCTCAGAGGCGGAACCAGGGGGCCCTTCCTCGGCCTGGGAAGCTGCGGCCATGCTCCTGCTGTTAGGACACGGGAGCCCTTGGCACTGACTGATCTGACTGAAACACAGACTAACCAACATTGGCCTATTTTAAAATTAAACTACCCTAGGAAGTGAAAACCCCACTACAGCCTGGTCTGCCCTCACACAGGGGAAAAGAGGTGTTAGAAGCAGTAGCTCGGGGCGATTAGGGGTTGTGCGTTTCCGTGCTTGGGGCCAGGCTGGGCACTGCCACCCAGTTTCTGCGTCCGGGGGTCACTGGGCCATCTGCACCACAACGGCTCTCCAGGCTTTCTCCTTGTCAAACTCCTTCAGGGGGCTCTTGGCCACCTGCGACCGAGACAGGAAAGGTGTTACTTCACCAGGACCACCTGTGCGGCGGGAAGCTGGACTCGCCACTCGGCCACAGGCAGCAAGCAGCCAGCATTCTTTTAACTTCAGAAGTTTTCTTTGAATGTGAAGGAAGTGGGGGAACTAACCCCTGGGCCTCTATGGAAAGAGATAAAAGCCTTTACTCCCTCACTGTCCCAGCAACTCCCGCGTCCCCACACACGCGGTGTCTACGGAGCCTGGGATGGAGCAGCCCTTCACTCGGTCCCTTGCCCTGGCTCTGGGGCGGGGGGCGGGAGAGGCCTCCCAAGGGTGGACATGTGCCTGACGGCCGAGGAAGAAAACACTTAAGGCAGAGGTGACCAGATGCCTCCAGGCACAAGGGAGGACAGCGCCAGCCCCAGCTGACTACCTGAGCCCAGCCATTCATCCTGAGCCCCAGCCGCCCACCCTGCGCCCCGGCCGTCCACCCTGGGTCCCGGCCGCCCACCCTGAGCCCCGGGATGAGCAGTTCTGGGATCTGGGGAGAGCACCTCATGCATCCAACTCTGGGCCTTGCTAGTCATGACAGAAACCCAGGTGGGTCTCATTTCAGGCCCAGGGACTGCTGTCCTAGCAGGAAGATTGACCACAGCCAGGTAAAACAGCAGCAAAGCAGCTGAGGAGGCAGGTGAAGGGAATGTCAGTGGGGAGGGGGGAGGGTGGGGGCGACTGGGTCAGCTGAGAAACCAGCCAAGGGCAAGAGGGCGTCTTCCAGGACTTAGCAGGCACTGGAGGCTCTGCACCAAGACTCTGAGGCCGGTGGTGTGCCGAACACAGGAGAGCAGGGTATGCAGGGCAAGAGCAGCGGCCAGTCCGCCCAGGGTGGCCTAGAGGTGGGGCAGGACTCAGAGCCCCCCTGAGAGGGTGGCCTGGAGGTGGGGCAGGACTCAGAGCCGCGCTGAGAGGGTGGCCTGGAGGTGGGGCAGGACTCAGAGCCGTGCTGAGTGGCCACCCGGGTGTTTGGGCATCAAGCTGACCGTCCTCGTGGTCACTACACCTGAGGGTCAGCGGGCAGGTTTGCCCAGGGGGGCACCGCCAGGACCTGTAGCTCAGTATGGGGAAGATGCTGAGCCTCCGCCTTTCAGTTGAAGGGGCAGGAGACAGTAGGCAGGGCCCAGGGGAACATTGTTCAGGCCGTGACAGCCAGAAGTTGTTGACACCCCAGCTCCACGGAGCCCCACGTGCCAGGCTGGGTGGGCAGTGCCTTCCCTGCAGAACCGTGTCCCCACCAGAGCCAGGGGAGGAAACCATGACCTGCCGGAGCCCCCACAAAGCCCTCTTCCATGTCTCTGAGAGCAAATCTGAAAGCATTAAGTCCAGAATATTTCCCAGGGGTGGGTCTGGGCTTACCTAGGCTTTGTGTTTGTTTTTTTTTTTTTTTTTTTTTTTTTGAGACAGAGTCTCGCTTAGTCGCCCAGGCTGGAGTGCAGTGGCGCGATCTCGGCTCACTGCAAAGCTCCGCTCCGGGTTCACGCCATTCTCCTGCCTCAGCCTCCCGAGTAGCTGGGACTACAGGCGCCCGCCGCCTCGCCCGGCTAATTTTTTTGCATTTTTAGTAGAGACGGGTTTCACCGTGTTAGCCAGGATGGTCTCGATCTCCTGACCTCGTGATCCGCCCGCCTCAGCCTCCCCAAAGTGCTGGGATTACAGGCGGAGCCACCGCGCCCGGCCGTGTTTTGTATTTTTAAAAGACATTTTATGGCTGGGCCGCGGTGACTCACGCCTGTAATTCCAGCACTTAGGGGCCGAGGCGGTGGATCACGAGGTCAGGAGTTCGAGATCAGTCTAACCAACCATAATGAAACCCTGTCCTACTAAAAATAGGAAATTAGCTGACGTGGTGGCACATGCCTTGTAGTCCCAGCTACTTGGAAGCTGAGGCAGGAGAATGCTTGAACCCGGGAGGCGGAGGTTGCGGTGAGCCGAGATCGTGCCACTGCACTCCAGCCTGGGTGACAGAGCGAGACGCCTTCTCAAAAAAGAAAAAAAAGAAAAAGAAAAAGACATTTTATTTCTTCGGGGTTTTTCTGGGGCGTTTTTAAAAATACAAAGTGGCACAAGGAGCCTTCGAGGGTCGTGGTGTGTGGCCCTTGGAGGCCCTCACCAGGACAGGTGCCCCCACCGCAGGCCTCTCACCTCCCCAGCAGGCGCTCCTGTGGACCACTCACCTCCCCAGCGCCCGCACACCCCACAGGCCTCTCACCTCCCCAGCTGGGCACCCCTGTGGGCCACTCACCTCCCCAGTGCCCCCTCCCCCTGCAGGCCACTCACCTCCCCAGCCAGGCGCTCCTGCGGGCCGCTCTGGGTGTCCCAGGACGCGCCCTGCAGCCTTGCGCTGACCTTGAAGCGCACACACTGGATGGCAGTGCCCGTGTTGAGGCCGGCCTGCAGCAGGAGGACCAGCAGGAGCAGTAGCAGGAGCACGTCATAGGATGGCTGCAGGTGGAAGGAGGAGTGAGCAGGGTGGCCCAGCCGCCCTCCAGCCCAGGAGACCAAAGCTCCCTCGTGCCCGCAGCCTTCGCAAAGAGCAGGTGCCAGGCTCGAGTTGGAGCCGCAGTAACCCAAACGCACTGTTATTTCAACAACCTGATGATAATCATTCTAGCTCAATTAATGAGGTCAATTCTGCTTTAAATTCCATCAGCTTGTGTTCAACAGACAGGAATAAAAGTGACCGAACCACTGCCAGGCCCTGTGGACAGTGCTGGCTGCTAGTGGTCAAGTCGCTCCACCCCTCCTGCCCCAACACCCAGAAGGCTCAGTCCTGGAGCCAGCAAGACCGTCTGCAGGAGGCAGAAGCGCTGACCATTCCGTGTCAGCAGGATCCTGAGCGGAGGAGAGAGGGGGCAGCCATCCTGGGGGGTGGGGGCACAGGCCCCCCAACAGCTTCACCCCTGAGCCCCCGCTGCTGGGAAGGAAGAGGCAGGAGGCAGCGCGGTGAGCTTGGCAGGGAAGAGGATGGAGGGAGCGCCCAAAGATGCAGGGAGCCAGAGAGTGACCACAGAGCACCAAACCCTCTGTGACCGTGGATAGCTTTCCAGTGTCGGCCCAGGAAAAACAAAGCAACTACATGCGGGAGTGAGGAAGGAATTCAGAAGAGCTCTGATCCCCTCGGGTATCAAGGAAACACCAGGATAAATTATTAAGTTTAAAAAAACAAGCAAAGGGCCGGGCACAGTGGCAGGAGCTTCTCATCCCAGCACTTTGGGAGGCCAAGGTGGGCGGATTGCTTGAGCCCAGGAGTTCAAGACCAGCCCTGGCAACAGAGTGAGACCTGGTCTCTGAAAAATAAAATAAGTAAATACATAATTAAAAAGTGAGGTACATGGCTGAGCACGGTGGCTCACGCCTGTAATCCCAGCACTTTGGGAGGGCGAGGCAGGCGTATTACTCAAGGTCAGGAGTTCGAGACCAGTCTGGCCAACATGCTGAAACCCTATCTCTGCTAAAAATACAAAAATTAGCCGGGCATGGTGGCACATGCCTGTAATCCCAGATGCTCCAGAGGCTGAGGCAGGAGAATCACTTGAACCCGGGAGGCAGAAGTTGCAGTGAGCCAAGACTGTGCCACTGCACTCCAGCCTGGGCGACAGCGTGAGACTCTGCTTAAAAAAAAAAAAAGGCCGGGCGCGGTGGCTCACGCCTGTAATCCCAGCACTTTGGGAGGCCGAGGCGGGTGGATCACGAGTTCGGGAGATCGAGACCATCCTGGCTAACGTGGTGAAACCCCATCTCTACTAAAAATACAAAAAATTAGCCGGGCGAGGTGGCGGGCGCCTGTAGTCCCAGCTACTCAGAGGCTGAGGCAGGAGAATGGCGGGAACCCGGGAGGCGGAGCTTGCAGTGAGCCGAGATCGCGCCACTGCATCCCAGCCTGAGGTACAGAATAGTAATTGTGATTCTAGTGTACACGCTCTTTTGTAAGAAAGGAAAGAAAATTATCATCTGGTTGCCCATAAGAGGAGCGGGTCAGTCGGGCATGAGACCATAGCTTCTCTGAGCTCATCTGTTAGAGTTTGGCTTTTGAACCACATAAATATTTTATATATTCAAAAAATGTCATTTTGAAAAAAGCACCAAGCCCTAAAATGGAATACAACCAGAGGCCATTAAACTTAATGGGGCATCAAACCCAAAGGATAACCCCACACAGAAAGGGGCCGACTTCACTGGCGTGTGGCTGTCCCCTCCTAGCAGAATGCAAAATGGAAGCCTCAGGCTCATTCAGGAGATGGCCCCTGGGTGGTAATATCGTCTCTCATAATCGTGAACAATTATATGCATATTGTAAGACAACGTGAAGTAGCAGATATATTAAATGTCACAGGAGACGAAATATTTGGAGTAGGAGTGGGGGAAGCAAACATAAGAGAAGTCAAGAAAAAATCCCAGGCCGGGCCGTTGTAGCTCACATCTGTAATCCCAGCACCTGTGGGAGGCTGAGGACACTATCCCCCATCAGACGGTGACTCCATCCCCCATCAGGCGGTGACTCCATCCGCCATCAGACGGTGACTCCGTGACTCCATCCCCCATCAGGCAGTGATTCCATCCACCAAGCAGTGATTCCATCCTTCATCAGTCGGTGACTCCATCCCCCCAGTGATTCCATCCTGCATCAGGCAGTGACTCCATCTCCCATCAGACGATGACTCCATCTCCCATCAGACGATGACTCCATCCCCCATCAGACGATGACTCCATCCCCCATCGGACAGTGACTCCATCCCCCCAGTGATTCCATCCTGCATCAGGCAGTGACTCCATCCCCCATCAGACGGTGACTCCATCCCCCATCAGACGGTGACTCCATCCCCCATCAGACGGTGACTCCATCCCCCATCAGATGGTGACTCCATCCCCCATCAGACGGTGACTCTATCCCCCATCAGACAGTGACTCCATCCCCCATCAGACGGTGACTCCATCCATCAGTGACTCCATCTTCCATCAGATGGTGACTCCATCCATCAGTGACTCCATCTCCCATCAGATGGTGACTCCATCCCCCATCAGACGGTGACTCCATCTCCATCAGAAAGTGACTCCATCCCCCATCAGATAGTGACTCCATCCCCCATCGGCACAATCATGTTGACCTGACCTGGAGCAAACAGCTTGAATACAGGTCTTCTAATGATTTGGGTGGCAAAACCACTTATATTGGAAACAAGAACAAACAAACAAAAAAACACACCAGGTATCCAAGAAATATATGTAGCTACACGTGCCTAAGCCTTGAAAGTAGTGTTAGAGATAAGCTCCTACTGGGCCAGCTCAAAGTCACGGGACTTTGAATTCTCCTTAAATTCACCCATTAAACTCAATGCAGTTCTGGTGCAAATCCAAAAAGCGTGTCCAACAAACTCAGGACAGATTCTAAAACGGGCTCAGGGACAGAGGGGTCCCAGGTCCCTGTGAAGCAGGTGGTGGCCCCAGATCCAGGGCGGAATTGAGGCCCCGAGGCCCTGGGGCCAGGCTGGCGGCGGGGAGCGCAGTCACCGCTGCCCAGGAACAGTGGAGGAGGCCCCGCCTGGAGCTGCCCCTGAAGCCGGGGCCCACAGAGTCCTAGGCAAAGCCAGTAAGGGCCAGGCCAACGCGCAGAGCACTGCATGTCTGGAGGGCCCCGAAATAAAACACAACTCACTTTTATGGCTGGCGGGTAATCTTTAAACATCTCCACGATTCTCATGACGCTGAATGACAGATATCCAGAGGCTGTGAACAGCAGCGGAGACGTGAGGCTGCTTATGGCTATCAGCACCTCCACCTGGAAAAAAGCGCGGGTTGCAGGGCCAGGGCCGGAGCCCGGGAGCCCAGGACAGGGGGCGTGGCCAGGGCTCAGGGGGATGTGGCCGGGTGCTCAGGGGCCTAGTCCCAAGCTGGTTCCCAGCATGGCTCCTGCTGAAACCTCTGCCTTTTCTTTTTTCTTTTTCTTTTTCTTTTCTTTCCTTTTTTTTTTTTTTTTTTGAGATGGAGTCTCGCTCTGTAGCCCAGGCAGGAGTGCAGTGGCACAATCTCTGCTCACTGCAACCTCTGCCTCCTGGGTTCAAACAATTCTCCTGCCTCGGCCTCCTGAGTAGCTGGGATTACAGGCATGCGTCACCACACCCGGCTAATTGTTTTGTATTTTTAGTAGAGACAGGGTTTCACCATATTGTCAGGCTGGTCTTGAACTGCTGACCTCAGGTGATCCACCCACCTCGGCCTCCCAAAGTGCTGTGATCACAGGCGTGAGTCACTGTGCCCGGCCTGCCTTTCTTTCTTTTCTGAGATGCAGTCTCGCTCTGTAGCCCAGGCAGGAGTGCAGTGGCACAATCTCTGCTCACTGCAACCTCTGCCTCCTGGGTTCAAACAATTCTCCTGCCTCGGCCTCCTGAGTAGCTGGGATTACAGGCATGCGTCACCACACCCGGCTAATTGTTTTGTATTTTTAGTAGAGACAGGGTTTCACCATATTGTCAGGCTGGTCTCGAACTCCTGACCTTGTGATCCACCCACCTTGGCCTCCCAAAGTTCTGGGATTACAGGCATGACCAGCCTGCCTTTTCACTCAAAGCGCAGTGCCACGAGTTTTTAAATATTTACTATCTAGGCATGGTGGCTCACGTCTGTAATCCCAGCACTTTGGGAGGCCAAGGAGGGCAGATCACCTGAGGTCACTAGTTCGAGACCAGCCTGGCCAACATGGCAAAAGCCCCATCTCTACCAAAAATACAAAAACTAACCGGGCGTGGTGGCACATGCCTGTAGTCCCAGCTACTTGGGAGGCTGAGGCAGGAGAAAACTTGAACCCAGGAGACAGAGGTTACAATGAGCTGAGATCACACCACTGCACTCCAGCCTAGGTGACAGAGCAAGACTGTCTCAAACAAACCAAACCAAGAAACAAAAAACATTTACCTGCAATTCTCCACTCTTGAAAAAATAACCCTTCCCGAGAAGGCCCATACCTGCGGGTGTACACATCCCATTGGTGGCAGCTGTGGCTCAGCTCCCTGTGGGGGTCAGTAGGCTCAGAGCAATGCCCCCAGGGACCAGTGCCAATCTAGCGGGCTGCTGAGGCACTCAGAGCCGGAAAGAGACCCAGGCAGGCCGAGCTGGGATGGAGCCACAGCCCCGAAAGGGGCAGGACCAGGGCCGGCTGCCGAGACACAGAACTCACGTGGGTGCCACCCAACCGGGTCTGTACAGAGAGAATGACGCCTGCAGGTGTATGTCTGACCCTGGGGTCTGACATGCAGGATTACATCCCAAGCTAAGGGGAGGATGAAGACCACATACCTGCAAAAAGTAGAGAATGAAAGGCACTCGCCTCACCCCCTTCCTGCCCCTGCAGTCACGCCCTCATCACA